GATTATTATTATTATATAAATGCAAGTTGTTGTTGTTGCACTGAAGCCCTTGTTTTTCGGTACTAAACCCTTCCCTGAGAGTATTCTCGGAAGCCGCTCTTTTCTGACACAGCAATTGCAATTCCAGCTATTTTGCCATTAACATATAGGTGTAGTCGTTTGTCAAGACAAAATCAATAATAGTTCTTGCATAATCCAATTATAGGCAGGAGATGGAATTTACACACTACAGAGAAGGACATACAAGTGTCCATCTGCTGAGGAACGAACAATTTGCAGCTCTCTACCGAATTCACAAGTCAAACAGACTAAAGTTAATTGGTTCTGGAGCTTTTAAAACTGAAACAAACTAGCCTTTAAATTAAAACAACCAGAATCTTTGACTCATCACAATTCTGGACACCACCAGACAAAGGGCTCAACCTCCCAAAGGGTTTAAGATTACTTTCAACCAGATTGCATGTTGAGTGTTTACTTTTGGAGAGGAACTAATTGAAGGTAAGGGCTACATTTGCACAAGTCACATTCATTCTGACAGTGTAGATGTCTAAATTTAGTTTAGCTGAAACAGTTTGCCTAGAAACACACAGTTAATAGAATTGGGTGTCAGCCTGGCTCAGTTGGTAGCCTTCTCACCTATAAGTCAGAAGGTTGTGGGTAGCCTTGGCTCTTGCCAACCTGCACGTAATACTCTCTGGAATTAGGTCAGCAGGATGCATCCCTCCAGCGAGAGAGTGCACATTCCGTTCGAACAATCTATCTCTGGGATTTTCATGTGTAATAATAATAATTCTTGCGTTTGATACAGTGCCTTATCACGTGGTCTAGACATCTCAAAGCGCTTCACAGAATATACTGTAAAGTAAATTTGTGGGTGAAACAGGGCAAGCAATTGTGCACAGCAGCGTCCCACAAACAGTTGTAGATTGAGTGACCAAATTATTATTTTTTTTAGGGGATTATTACCCCCAGAAAAGTGATTCCCCCAATCAACTAACATCCGGGTAAACTGCAGGGTAAACAGAGCATGTGGAGTGCAAACACCAGGATGGACGAGCTGGGCCGAATGGCCTGTTTCCACGCTGGAAATCAATGTAAAGTTTATTTAATATTTAGCTAGTTATTATGTGTAGGTGGGATGCATGGCAGTCTCAACTTGGTTTAGATACTCTTAAGAATGGTGATGGATTTCCACATGTATCAGACAACCGGCTGACCAAAAAAAAGATTGTGGGTTTGAACTCACAGCTAATGCTGACACATCAAGATGTTTCTAAATTATATCAAATGCAAGGATTATTTATGAAGTCTTACTATTTGGGAAGAGATGGGCAGCATTATCACTGCAGTGGTAGAGCAGAGCTTCAGATTTCTGACCTCTCACAAATAAGAGTTATTCTCCACTATGCATCAGTGGAGTAGCACCAGGTGGAAGCCAGATATGTCCTTAAGGGGAGAAAGTCACAGTGATTGCTCTTGTACGTCTCTTAGCAGCTGGTTACACAGGAGTAATGGCAGAACCCAGGGTACCAGAAGTCAACTTTCAGCCATGACTTGTGCACGCTCTGGGAATCCACTGAAGGGAGGGAAAGCAGTACTGTATTATAGATGACTTGAAAAGCATAGGTGTACTGTTGCGGAATGGCTGTGTATGTAAATGGCTTTGTTTTAAATATACAGTATAACATATTTTATTTTGCATGTTTTATTTTAATTTGATTGTGATTTACTGTAAATAGGTTCATAGTCTTGCAACACTCAATGTATCACAACAATCAATATCAACACACAAATCTCTTTTGAACTGAGATGATAAAACGTGCTACAATTTATGTTCACATGGCTCCACAGTAGACAGGATATGATTGGGATTTGGGATCTCTATCTTAGGTCTGGGTCAAAGAAATGCCTTGATGCGTGGGAACGAGAATTAATTAAATCTGTTATTTGAACAAGATGCATCAACTCTCAAAGAGGGAGTCTCATGCTATAATCCTTTCAAAGGTCAAGCAGGTACAGAGAATTAGGATTATCTTGCCTTGGCCCTCTTTTTTGCACTTCACTTTTATGTGGAAAGAGCCAACGGTGTTAAGGCATTCGGGTAAAGGGTGACTGGGAGGGATTCTAAATTGGGTTACTGAACTGACCTACACAGTTGATGACTATGTTAATTTAGTTCTTCACACATTTTGTAACTCCTCAGAGCTGCCACCCCAATGATCTCATCATCAGTGTCTGTTTTAAACAATAATATTCAAACCTGAAAAGTCCTGGATTGAATGAAAGAGTATTAACGTTAATTAGAATTCTCAGAGCTATTGCTTTCCTAAAATGGGTCATGGTGCAAGATTCTTTAAACCCATGGGAATCAGCTTAACTTCAAAATTACAACTCCCATCCGTGCTACTTTTAAAAACTCTTACAGAGATATTTCATTGACTTTAAAGGATGTCATTGCCCCTGAAAACGTGTTAGGCAGCACATTTGATCATGTGGTGATTTTGGTTGTGTAACCTATCCCCCTCCCTTGCCTCCTTCACAGCCTATCTCAAGATCCTCCTCTTTGACTGCGCTTTTGGTCAACCTTGTACCCCCCCACCCTCCTGATCCCAACCCCTAGCTCGGGTGCAAATCCTTGACTATCCAATGCCTTAGGATGTCCTTCCAACGTGAAAGGCGCTATACAAATGTAATTTGTTGTTTGTCATTGTTGTAAAATGTCACCACACAACTTCATGTGCTCTGAGACCCAACCCTATGTGGAGGGCGCTATATAAGTGCACGTTGTTGTTATGTGAGATCATCAAAATGTAATTGGTCCTGACTTTTTCTCTTTCTCTCTTGTCCAAGCTGAAATGTTCTGGGTTATTCACGAGATTTGCGTCAGACCTGAATCGATTTATCTCCGTCACAGTGTTGGGCTCAGTAAGAACTCCCAAGCTTCGTAGTCCTGGCCAAACACAGTTTAAAGAAATTAATTTGAAAGAATAATAATCCTTGCATTTGATATAGCACCTTATAACGTCTTGTAGACGTCTCAAAGTGCTTCACAGAATATACTGTAAAGTGAATTAACTACATGTTTTGTGGGCGAAACGTGGCAGCCAATTGCGCACAGCAGTATCCATACAGTCAAGGATTAAGTGACCAATTTTTTTATTTTTACAATGGCAGAAAACATTAGCACATGAATTTTGAAACTTGAGTATTATTTGTAATTTCGTAAGAGTTCTTAATAATGACAGTGACACCTTTTGTATGATTCACAAACAAGAAGTCTCATCAAAATTGTTTTGCAAATTATGCAGATAAAACTTTAGTATCTCATTACAGCATTGAGCAGAATTATTTATTTAAAAAGAAAATTGGGGTGAATTGTGTTCATTAAAGGTGCAGGATGTCAGTGCAGGCAAATAGACTTTTTTTTGTTGTTGTTCTAGATTACTTTAAAGCACCCATGGCCACCATAAACAACAACAACAACAAGATTTCATTTATAGAGCGCCTTTCACGTCGGGAGGACGCCCCAAGGCGCTGGACAGTTGGGTCAGGACCCGAGCAGGGGGGAAATGGTCAGGGTGAGGGGAGGGAAGGGAGGGAGCGAGGAGGGGGTAGAGAGTCGAGAGGGGAGCTGAAGGCACGGTCAAAGAGAAAGGTTTTGAGACCGGCCTTGAAGGAGGGAAGGGAGGAGGCAATGCGAAGGCATTGGGGGATAGAGTTCCAGAGCCTCGGGGCTGAGAGGCTGAAGGCCCGGCCACCGATGGTAGGGCGGTTGGGGCGGGGGATGTGGAGCAGACCGGAGCCAGAGGAACGGAGGGTACGGGCAGGTAGGTAGGGGGATAGTAGATCAGAGAGGTAGGAGGGAGTGAGGCCGTGAATGGCCTTGTAGCTGAGGATGAGGATCTTGAATTCGATCCTCTGGGGGATGGGGAGCCAGTGGAGGCGAGTGAGGGTGGGAGTGATGTGGTCGCGAAGCCTGGTGCGGGACAGTACACGAGCTGCAGAGTTCTGAATGACCTGCAGCTTGTGGAGGGAGGTGGCGGGAAGGCCGGCGAGGAGAGAGTTCCCATAGTCCAGCCTTGAGGTGATAAAGGTGTGGACCAGGGTTTCAGCAGCGTGAGGGGTGAGGTAGTGCCGTAGTCTGGCGATATTCCGGAGGCGACGAAAGGCGGTGCCAGTTATTGCGCGGATATGAGGGAGAAAGGACAGCTCAGGGTCGAACAGAACCCCGAGGTTCCTGACTGGCTTTGAGAGGTGGAGAGTGCAGCCTTGGATGCTGATGTTGTCAGCGCCAGAGGTGCGGAGGCGCTGACGTGAGCCAATCAGGAGGGCCTCGGTTTTTCGCACGTTGAGCTGAAGAAAGTTGTCTCTCGTCCAGGACTCGATGTCGGACAGGCAGCTGTCAGGACATCGGTGGTCGTGGAGTTGAGGGTAGAGGAGGAAAGGTAGAGTTGGGTGTCATCCGCATACATGTGGAAGTTAACCCCATGTCTGCAGATGATGTCACCAAGGGGGAGCATATAGAGGGTGAAGAGGAGGGGACCGAGGACAGAGCCCTGAGGGACACCGCACGAGACAGTGCGGGTGTGGAGGAAAAGCCGTTCATGGAAACAAAGTGAAGATGGTGGGAGAGGTACAACCTAAACCACTCAAGGACAGGGCCTTGAAGGTTGAGGTGGGAGGACAAGCGGTGGAGGAGGATAGCGTGGTCGACCGGATAAAGCAATCCCAACTCAGAAATAGCACAATTAGATTGCAGAGAAAAACTCCCTGTAAGCTTTCCTAATAATGTGCCTTTGTTCCAACTGCAGACTAGCACTGTGAAACTTTTGATTCCCTATATTTTTGGTCCCAATTCTAAGGGCATTTTGCATGACTTGAGCCCAACCCTACTAGGAGCTCAGGTGAGACTTCCCAACCTAATTTCTCATCTTAGCCAAGAGACAGACTATTGCCTCAGTCCAGGCTGGATCTGAACCCACGTTCCCACAGGTGAAAAGTTAATTGGAGATTTCAATGAGCTGAGCACTCTGCAGTGTTGTAAGTTCAGTTTTTCCTTGTCTTTGCCTGTACTGAGTATGCCAGGGCTGGGTCACCCACTCTGGGTGAATTTGATAATCATAGGCACGTGGTTTAAGATTTAGCTCCCATATTGGGTCAGAGCTGGACATACGGAGCCGAGGCCCATACACAATCCGAGGGTCAGTGGAGAGAGTTTTTAGCAGTCGCTCCACTGCCACGATTTCTGTAAAAGAAAAGATAAACCGTCACATACGTTTCTCAAACACTCCTTCATTTTGTGATCTTTAGAAATCATTTCATTAGAGGTATATTTCACAGCAGTCCTGTTTAGTTCAATTTGGATAAATTGGGTATTGGAGCCAGTTGGGTAAGAGCTGTCTGCCTTCTGGGCTTCACTCCCACCAACCAACTAACTAACCAAGTAACAATATAGCGCATCTATAGTCCTATAATGCTTCCAGTAATGCTAGAGCAATGGAAATGCCATTAGTAGGAAACAACAGGTCAAGTTAAATAACAAGGTTCATAGCTGTTTTACAGTTTAGCTTGATTATTTTGCAAAACGTTCCTTTAGGAAGTTAAATAAGATGGGGGGAATCCAGAATGGAGTGAATTGCACACACAGTCTGTGCAAGGACTGACCTTGGTAGGAGTTAAATGCTCTTTTCTCATTTCATCTGTATATCTTTAAGTTGATTAACTTTTTTTTTGGAATGTTGTCTTGGTAAAAATATAGCAATGATTGCTTTGGGGGTGAATCGGCCAGACAGGCAGATAATGCAATTGTCTTTGAAAGGCTGCACCTCCAATTTGTATCTCATTTTGCTGCTATGACTGGAATGACAGAATGTCAGACTGACTCCTGCCAATGTGCACGTTGGGAAATGTGCCAAATTGCCCTGTCATGGTCGGTGAGTCAGTGACTAGACGGCATCAATTTAAGATAGTTACCAAACAAGCAAATGGGGAGGTTAGGTGAAGTTTTTCCGCACAAAGATTAGATGGGATATGGAATGCCCTGCTGAGAGCGATGGTCGATGCAGAATTCGTGTTAGCTTTCAAAAGGGAGTTGGTTGAATATCTTTAAACCTACGGGGACAGATAAATAGGACTGAAAGGTTTGCTCTTAAAAGAACCAGCAAAGCCGAATGGCCTTTTTCTGTGCTGCAAATTTCTATGGTTCTATGTTCAATTTGTTTTCCGTGTCTGGGACATTCACGGATTTTCTTGTGATGTGTGGGACTGGGACATAGATCAGGTTGTATTTTCTGGCTCTAAACATGGCCTTGGTCCATGGTCCTAAAATGCACTGCTGAGGAAATGAACCTGTGTCTGGGTCTCTGCCACAAACTTGCCACCATTTCTCGCCTATTTTAATGGAAGCAAATGGAGAATATCAAGACCAAATTTTCTGAGGAATAAAGGGGAATCCGTTAAGCGGAAGATAATGCATTGAAACCTGTTAAACAGAATTTATCTTACAATGGGTGAAATACCTTAACCATTAAACACCAAATTCAACAGTCTGATAAGAGGTGTGCTTTTGATTCTATGGGAAGAATATTTTGAGTGGACGGGAAGTGTTCTGTTGAGGGCTGTTAAGCAGTTTGTGCCATGTGCGCAAGTGAATTATTCACAGGAATGACAAAACATCTAACTTACGGTCAATGGTGTAATATATAAATTTTTCCTTAGGTTAATTGGTTCACTTCGTAATTTGTTCCGAAACACGTCTCAGGCCATTAAGCACTAATTTAGAGCAGTAAATTAGTGTTTTTAATGTTGCTGCAGTGAATTATCACATTGCTGAGTTGTCAAATTAACACTAACACCATGAAATCAATTCCAATTATGGCAGGCACTGAGTTTACTGTACAGCAACAATAATGGCTCATCCATTACTTTGCATTACTAATAAGACACAGGCCGGAGAGACAGCTAATATTTGCTCTTAAAGAAGCAGTTTCAATTACAACATTTGAGAATATTTTTTTGGGGGGTTAAGCATTTCAAGCACAAATTTGGAATAAATATAACTTAGGAAAGAAGACTGTAATAAGACTGTCCTTAACACAAGAGTAGCAATTAAAGTACCTGCCCAGTGTGAACATAAGAACCTAAGAACATAAGAATTAGGAGCAGGAGTAGGCCAGTCGGCCCCTCTAGTCTGCCTCGCCATTCAATAAGATCATGGCTGATCTATTCTAACTCCACCTACCCGCCTTATCCCCATATCCCTTAATCCCTTTATCCACAAGAAATCTATCAATCTCAGTCTTGAATATGTTCAAGGAGAACATGCCCTGAAGCTGAGATGCTTAGACCAGGAAATGCTGAGTTAGTTGATTCCAGGAAGGTGGGAGTCGGAATACTACATGTGGCCTGAATGCCCTGACACTAAAGAGGAGGAGAAACATCAGTCTGGCTTTCCTTCCTTGATGACTATTCAGGGATCCTCTATATTCTGTGACTCGCTTTGAGATGTCTCAATGACGTGATAAGGCGCTATGTCAACAACGACAAATTATATTTGCATAGTGCCTTTCACATTGGTAAATCAATATATATCAAAAGCTAGGATTATTATTATTATTACTCTTGTGTGTGTGTGTGGATGTCAAGTGAGGACAGGATTGAGCTCTGTTTTGATGCTCCTCATAGTTAAATAGCTGACTGATAATCATTATCAAGACTTGTCCTTGTGTACATAGATAATAGTTATTTGGATAAGATGGTGCACTCCAGTGTAGATCAGTGTAAATCAAAAGGGAGAGATAAATAAATAAAGTTACGACTCACAGCGAGAAAATAAAATGTTACCTATCTATCTGAATTTCTTTCAGCTGTCTGACGAAAAAGCTCCGGGATAGAATTGAATTTGGGGAGCATTGAATGGCACTGCACATATTTTGTTGAGGACAGGAAATGATTTCATGGCGTGAAAGTGAACAAGATTAATTCATTGCACTTGAAAGTTTTTTTTTGTACTAAAATAAAGCATTATTCACCCAGGTTTGTGCTAGTTATATTTTGTTGCCCTTTTCAAAGTTGTTCTTTCTTTTCCTCTGCACCACATACCAAAGAGAGGACCATCGCTGTGGCAGTGGCCAATCCACTTTAACAGAAAGGTATTTTGTTTGGAACAAAAATCAATTCATAATGTATTTTTCTTGCAAAAAGTAATGTAGCCTGAGACACATCTGTCATTCAGACAGACTTGAACTGTTATCACTGGACAGGTTTTTGCTGACTCACCTTTTCTGATAATAATTATCTGATATCTTGGTTACGATGTGCTTGCATTTTTCGGACTCAATATCCTTTTGCTTACATTGAAATGGAAGTTGTTACACATACATAAAATGTCTACAGGCCAAGAAGAGAGTATAAAGTAATAAAGAGAGTTTTGTGTTAATGCTTTGTACCCTGTGATGGGTTTACCTTCTTCTCCAGCTTTGATCAGCCAGTGGTTCACTGATGTCACATACTCAGGTTTCACACTTCTGGAAAGTGCCTGTTAGCAAAGAGCAGACGTGGACTCAGTCTAGTTGTGAAAAGCACTTACAAAAGACATCTTACTCACAACACCTCTCCCCCATTCCCTACTTCCCTTGTTGTGGGTAATTGTCATCTCTCCCATTCGCCTGCAAGACTGAAAACTCCTTACATAAGAACCTAAAAATTTGCGAGGCAGAAGAAGATCAAGGTCCATCCGGTTCTCATTCCACCCTCCCGGCAGCCCCTTGACATGTCATGTCCCAAATTATATATTTTATCCCGAGATGTTCTAACAGAAATCTATTTAATTTGTTCTCGAAGCAAACAACACTTTCTGTTTCCACCATCTCCCTAGTTCCACAAGTTTATTACTCGCTCACTGAAGTAGCGTTTCTGTAGATTTGTTCTGGAGTTACCCCTTCAATCACAAGTCATGCCCTCTGATTCTACTGTTCAGTGGATGATAAGACAGCTTATCTTGCTCTACATTGTCTAGTTCCTTCAGAATCTTAAAGACTATAATCATGTCGCCACTCAACCTCCAGAATGAACATGCCCAGTTTATCTAATCGCTCCTCGTAGTCCAGTCCCTCCATCCCCTCAATCATTTTGGTTGTCCTCCTCTGTATCTTCTCAATCTCTGCAATATCCTTTTTTATATTTGGTTATTGTGCAATGAATTCTCACTAGGGAGTTGTATCCTACTGTTCTGTGCTCCACTGCTCTGTAGAGCAATGCCCCTGAGTTGTATTGTATTATAAATCTATGCGCTAGCTGTTGCCCTCTTCAGTTGTTTGAGGTGTTGTAGCCGCAAGGGAACTCTGGGCACTTCACAGGAACGTGAAGCACCTTCACTGATGGCTTACCACTAGATTACAAAGTTATCCGTTCCTCTGGCTCCAGTATGCTCCACATCCCCCGCCCCAACCGCCCTACCATCGGTGGTCGGGCCTTCAGCCTCTCAGCCCCGAGGCTCTGGAACTCCATCCTCCAGTGCCTTCGACGCCTCCTCCCTTTCCTCCTTCAAGGCCGGTCTCAAGACCTTTCTCTTTGACCGTGCCTTCAGCTCCCCTCTCGACTCTCTACCCCCTCCTCGCTCCCTCCCTCCCTTCCCTCCCCTCACCCTGACCATTTCCCCCATGCTCGGGTCCCAACCCAACTGTCCAGCGCCTTGGGACGTCCTCCCGACGTGAAAGGCGCTCTATAAATGGAATCTTGTTGTGGTTGTTGTATACAATAAGAGCCAAAAGAATTTACATGTAAAAACCATAGCAATTCCTAGCACACCACACCCAGTGAACACCGGTCTACACAGCGGTCTGTCTACGCGCACTGAAAATAACATGCTAGAGGAATTTTCACGACAAAATTTTCATACCTTTTGTGTCATTGCATCTTTTCTCATTTTCTTTCCTATTCCTCGTAGCCTTAATGATATACAGCAGTTTACACTCCAGCCTGGGCTCTGAGGGTTCTTGCTTTTTTTAAAAAAAAGTGTTTCTTTACACTTGAGGTTTGTATGCATATTCTCACATACACATTAGCACACCCTCCATTGCACTCTAGGGCAGAGATGGGGTGCATTTCAGTGTGACAATGCATGCGAACATTGAAGATCCTATAACACTGTTTGAATAGAGAAGGGAGTTTCTCGTAGGGTCCAGGTAACCAATCCAGCAGATAAATGGACCATTCACCTCATGACTGTTTGAGGGACCTTCCTGTGCAAAATTGGCCTCCACCTTCACTTTGCTTGAGAGCGGTTACTTGTGAAGCACTTTCAGGCATCTGGACATTACAGGCTCAATATCAAACGATTGGCATTCCCAGTTGCAAATCACGGGTAAATGGTGCCAAGTGCCCACGGAGCCAGCATTTACACTGCCGCCAGCAACGATACTGCCTCAGAAGCCACAAGGTAAATAGTGTTTTTTTGTCACATTTATATTGCCACCAGCTATAGACCAAATCTTGCAGCAGCCATATGGTAGCATCTCAACATAAATGGAGCAAAAAGACGAAATTTCTGCACTAAGTAATAATAATCCTTGCATTTGTTATAGTGCCTTATTGAGACGTCTCAAAGCGCTTCACAGAATATACTGGGAAGTGAATTGACTATATATTGACAAGTACAGAAGCATGCTGAGGAGAAATAATATACAGCGATGTGGTTGACTGTAACTACGATTAAATCCAACGCCATTAGTTGTAGTTAATGCCGTCTGAATAAGAAGACAGCAGGCGATTGCACAAGCCACACTGGTTTGGGTAGGTCACCCTCCTAGTTTTAAAATAATAAAATGACGGCATCCGATTGATTTTTTTTTAATAAAGGAAAAGGCCTTGTGCTTTTAACAAAATGAGTTGCTGCCTCTTGACGACACTGAAAAATTTAGGTGACAGGATTAGTCACAAGACAGATGCCCCTGCGCACACACAGAGCCACCTCACAATGAAACGCATTATACTAAAGAGTGCATCTGCAGTCAGTGGCCAGGATTTTATTTCAGACTCTCAGACTATTGCAGCAGTCTCCTCTGATTTGGCTTGTAAAGTCCACAATGATTACGTAATCCCGTGATGGGAAGTCTGAGCATTTTTCAGGACAGACACTACAAACTATTTCTTTGTCTGGTGGGTAACATATGGAATGGGTTACCTAGATGGGTGGTTGAGGCCAGGCCACTGGAGTTATTTAAGAAACACCTTGATGATGTAATGGTAACACTGTAGGATGGGTGTTCTGGAAAGACTGGGATGACTTCTGCATCTGAACTTCTCTTGTGATCTACAAAACTCTTTATTAATGTCACTCCTGACCTCATGGCTTGATGGTACAATTGCTCCAGGTTAGTGATTAACATACAAGGATTCAGCACACCTGCCAAAATGTTCCCAAATTAGGAAATATTTTAATATTTGGTTACACAGTCAATCTACTTTACAGTGAAGTGCTTTGAGACATCTTGATGATGTGATAAGGCGCTATTTCAAATGCAAGGATTGTTGTAACACTTACAGTGCTTACAGCTTGAAATCTTTACAGTGCTTAAAATTATTTAATACGAGGCATGTAAAAGGACAGCTTTATGTGCACTTGTGGATTGCTTCTAAACCTGTCAAAAGAATGCAGTCAACACCTTCACGTAACCTTCATGTAAGTAGGGCCATTCAGATACTGAGCCCACTTTAAAGATAGAGTGTCCAGCTGACTGATATCTCCTTGTACTTGAGGAAAAATAATATTAAACGGTACCAGGAAAGAGCAGTGGAATAGGATTAGGGTGGCTTGCTCCAGTGGGGAGATCTAGCATCAGCACAGACACAATGGATAAAGTGGCTTCCTCTGTGCTGTAAACATTCTCGGATTTTATGTGATAGAATTGTCATGACTTATCCCTATGGGCAAATTTACAATACAATGGTTGACTCCTGAGGCCTGAAATGTCTCATTCATTTCTCCTTAAAACCATTGGCTTAAATTGTTACATTGATTTGAAAAGTTCTTAAAGTTGGTCTTAAATCGGAAGCTGGTTTTAAATTTTCTGGAAAATGAAAAGAACTGCATAAACGTGGCTGTCAAATTAAGATTGAAATTAAGAATTTTCAAAATTCTGCATAGTCTTAAACCTTAATCAGTTTAATACCATGAGGATTTTCAGAACTTATAATAACAATAATCCTGCATTTGGTATAGTGCCTTATCGGGTTGTTAAAAAGTTCTCAAAGTGCTTCACAAAGATTTACAAGGAGTGTTATGATTGTGTATTTTGTAAGCAAATGTGGTAGCCAATTTGCACACAGGAATGTCCCACAAACAGTCATGAAATGAATGACCAATTTTATTTGAGGGATTGTTGGCCACGGCACCTCTTCTCTTTTTGAAAAGTTGCCATTGGATCTTTAACATCCACCTAAACAGGCAGATGTGGGTAAGGTACAGTTGTAATGTCTTTCACCTCACTGTCTGGGCTCACATGAACGATGGACACTTGGGTGAAAGATCTCAAAGTTACTGGTGTATCTGGAACCAGTCAGTGCACTTAAAGTAACCAGCATGAGCCATCCTGGTTATTACACATTACCTCAACTTACATTGCCAGAACTTACTTGACTGATGTAGCTTTCTCTTGGTGTCTCTTTCCCCATCAGACTGCGAGGTGTCGCCATTGCGCCCTCTATCATCCCTTTCACAGCCCGTCGATCTGAACAACCGAAAAAATTCACACTGTCAAAATCCACGCCAAACATTCGATCAGGGAACATCAGATTTAGAAACACACCGTACTGAGTAGCAATCGCTCAGCGTCACGAGCATTTACCCTTTTCGCTGGCAAGTTTCATCCAGGCCTCGGCTGCTTGAGCTGTGGTTGAGTCACCAAACAAGCTCTGCAATGCCTGTAACAGAACGGTTACAGCAGGCAAGGGAGGATTAGTCCTTTCTGATGTGAGGCAAAAGACACAAATCACTGGGCAGCAATGCAATAACATGTGGGGTAACAAACTCTGCTCCGGGCTACTGATGTAACTGGTAAGAAGTGTTGGTTATTTTAATGTTCAATACTATGTGGTTGGAATTCCACTTATCACTAATTTCACTGTGGGGATGTTTGCTTACATTTAAAGATTTCCATGAACCACATCAACAAAGTCCCAGCATTTACCAGAAAGCAGTGTATCACTTTCCTGTATCCTTACAACAACAACTTGCACTTATATAGCGCCCTTCAAGCGGGGTAGTGTCTCGGAGTGCATAAAAGTGGCTGAGCTTGACGCTGAGCCGGGGGAAAGAGGGGTGTGGCCGTAAGCACGGTCGAAGAGGAAGATCTTCAGGTGTGATCTGAAGACGGACAAGAAGGTGCAAGGCGAAGGGATAGAGGCCGAGATTTCCTTAGTTTCGGGGGTCGTGCCTGAAAGCACAGCTGCTGATGGTGGACGAGGACAAGGGACGTGCAGGAGGCTGGAGCCAACCGAACGGAGTATCGCTAAGATTTTAGACCATAATGGCGCTTTTATTCCAATTTTGCATTTCCTGTTGAAAAATATCCAAACGATACGAACTTTTTGTTACAACGTCCTCTTTTCAAATTGTGCTCTTCTGTTTCCCAAAGTCCCAGCTCGTCCATCCTGGACAAGGTGGGCAGCCTTCTTCCTGGTCACTAGATGGCACGAGAGAGCAGTCTGTGAATAACTTGATTTGCTCAACAGCCTGCGATTGTCAGTCCCTACAGTAACACAACTAACACTGAGACGCCATCAGTGAGGCAACCAACGATACCACGCTCCACAGCGTCCAGCGCAGTTTGAAGCTTAAAGATTAATCTCGTTAAATATAAAATTGGCTGTTTACTTCATGGCAATTTGCGGGACATTGCTGTGCACAAACGGACACATTTGCCTACAAAATTACAGTACAGATATACTGTAAAGAATGTGTATTTTGTGGATGAAATGCGGAAGCCAGTTTGCGCACAACAACGTCTCACAAACAGCTATGGAGTGAGTGACCAATTTATTTATTTATTTGGGGGATTTGTTGACCAGGACACTGGGAGAAACTCCCTTCTCTTTTCGAATAGTGTCAATTGATCTTTAACATCCACTTGACAAGGCAGAGGGAACCTTAGTTTAAGTCTCACCTGAAAGTCTGTACGCTGCAGTGACTATGTATTTTGTAGGCAAAAGTTTGAGCATCATTCCCCAATGTCAAATCAACAAATATTTCTATGTACAGTACCGCTTTGGTTGTTCCAATCGTTCTATTCATTGTTGTCCAAGGACGGGCATCAGATTTATACCATCCATCCACATGGCAAAACATTTCTTCATGTTTACCTGTCAAGTAAGAAACAGCCACAAGTAACATTTCTGTCCACTGCTAGTTGTGTTTCATCCGTCGAAAACTAATTATTCTTTTTATATCTGGCTAAAATAGTAGAAACCTTAGAAAATATAATGGTGGCTGTATTTTGTGTGTGTGCAGTATGTATGCCTACAAAACACACAGTCACTCCACTTTATACAATATTCTGTGAAACGCTTTGAAACATCCTCCTGTGTGTTATTATTATTATATACATTTACTGACCTTTCAGTCCACTATCACACACACCTCTCACTTACCTCTTCCAACTGAAGTTGTTGGAGGTTTTGGTGCATTATAGTATCCTGGGATGCTATGGAGATGGGTCACTAAAAATATTCTGAAGAAACAAAGTATAGAGATAACCGTTAACCCTCCATTGTTATTTACAGAAACTGCATAAATTAATTGCAAATGAACAAATACAGTACAATCTTGCCTGTATCAGAATAGGAAATAGAAACATCTCAGACATTTGAGGTTCACCTGAAACCATATCTCCTTCTTAATGGCCGTGTCATATCAGTGTACTATTGTGAGTATCACATCTGTTTTACTGTATGGGCAACGTTACAAACAATCCAATGTCACAGGTGACTGGTATTACAGCACACGAGAAGGGTTTGGATAGCATCAGAACAGAAGCGAAGATAGAGAGCTCCTACTTCTCCCTTCACTCATTACAGCCCCTCCAATCTAACTTTCATCCTGCCACAGCACCGAGACAACACTGAACAAAGATACAAATAATGCTCTTTTAGTCAGTGGCCAGGGATCTTTGTGCTTCTCGACTGCTGCCTTTGACATTGTTGACCACTCAAACCTCTTTGATCACCTCTCTTCTCTCATCCAGCTTTGTGGAGTACTCTTTCTGGTTCCAGTTCTACCTGTCCCACTAAATGCACTTTATTTCCTCTAAACAGCTTCTCCTCCTTATTCCACATGATCACCTCAATGGCTGTTCGTGGGATATGGATGAAAATTACAAATTGGCTGCCATGTTTGCCTACAAAATAGATAGTTACCACACATTACAGTATATCTTGTGAAGCATTTTGAGAAGTCCTCCCAATGTTATATCAAATGTAAGGCTTAAGAATTATTATTACCTCAGATATTTCAAACACTGGGTCTAAAATAATACTACTAATAATAATAATCCTTGTATTTGATATAGCGATTTTCACATCTTCCAGACGTCTCAAAGCGCTTCACACAATATACTGTAAAGTGAATTGACTATATATTTGTGGCCGAAATGCGACAGTCAATCGTGCACTGCAGTGTCCCACAAACAGTCGTGGATTGAAGTGACCGATTTATTGTTTTTTTTTCATTGATTATTATTATCAGTAAGGAGTAAGGAAAGTTACCGAAGGTTTCAACTTACCGGGAAACGAACCCAGGTCTCTCGCTTGCGAGGCGAGTGCTCTAACCACTGAGCTACAGAACTCAAGTATTTGTGGGCAAACATGGCAGGCATTTGCCACAGCAATAGTGTGCAGTGTTGCAATAGAAGGAAGGAAATACCCTTTAATATTTTGTATTTTAGACTCTGCTGTCCCTGCAACATTAACTTTGATTCCTCACTTGAACACTTCTCAGTAAGTAGAGAGATGGCCACGTCAATTAATCACCTGTTTGCCTCTTGCTCTGAAATTGAATTGAATGTTTCAGACAAAACAAAATCTCTGCGACCAAATAGATGTTTTTCACAACAAACTCAATAGTTAAGCCTTCAGCTTTCCTTGCCACTCCTTTATCCTCTGGAAGAACAAATGCTATTACTCTCATGCAAATCCCATCCACGAAACAAAGTTTCGAAGTTTCCTGCTCCCCCACCCTCATAGCCTTGCATATCGCTAAGTTCCTGAATAATTCATTTTTTAGAAAAGATGTTTTACTTTAAACCAAGTACAATTCCGTTCTGACATAACTCGTGAGCTATCAGATTTAATTATATCTGCGAGGCAGTAGAAGGCTTGACTAGTCCTCAGACACATTCAGGGATATGCACCTGAAAGTCAGTATTGGCAAAACTATTACAAAGAGGTAAATGTACACCAGCATCTTTTATTTTACATGGCAGCAGTGCTAAATACAGTGAAGAAATCCTGAAAAATACAAATATTTTTCCTTAGATTAAACATATAAGATTCTTAAAGGGCTGGATAAAGTAGACACTGAGGGTCTGTTTCTCCTGGTAGGAGAATCTATAACCAGGGTCACAGTCTTAAAATTAAGGGTCAGCCTTTTAGAACAGAGTTGAGGAAACATTTCTTCACTCAGAGGGTAGTGAATTTATGGAATTCACTACCCCAGAAGGCTGTAGATGCTCAGTCCTTGAACATCTTCAAGGCTGAGACTGATAGATTTTTAAAAAACAGAGGGATTAGGAGATATGGGGATAGGGCAGGTAATTAGAGTTAGGTCTGAAGATCAGCCATGATCTTATCGAATGGCGGGACAGGCTCGAGGGGCCGAATGGCCTACTCCTGCTCCTAATTCTTATGTTCTTATTATGTTCTTATGTTCTTAGCTTTCAGGTCTAAGATTTAAAAAACAATCTCATTTTATTTCTGGGTTAATCAATCGCATCCATCGTGTTCCAATGTAAGAAAGATTAAGGTTGCTTCAGGTAGGTGGGTAGAGAGACAACTATGGTTTTGAACGGTCAATCTTCAATACATTAAAACCTCCTTTCAATCAGGCTCTTTCATCTGTGCATCTAATTTAAACACGATCTGCTTACCCTGGGGGTCAGGAGAAGCACACATGATCAAACTCCAGAGAAATCGAACAAGAGATTCTTTTAAAATCTTTGCTTTTTCTTTATTGTTGTCCGAACATTTTCTCCTTCAACTTTCTTCCCTCCTTCACTGAGGCCTAAAATTGCACCTAGTCTTGGCCATTGCACTACCCCAAATGAAGAGCACTATATAAATGCAAGTAGTTCTTGTTGTCCTGTAAAGTCTTACTGGCTGTCATGTGTATGACATTATCACACATAGTGGAACAAGAAATTAAAAATGGAAGCACACACGGAATGAAAATCAAGAAAACATAGGAAAATTTAAATATAAAAACAGGAGCAATGCTCCATCCTTACAGGTGCAGTTGGAGGCCTGATATAAACGTAGGAATACATCTTGAAAGTTTGTTGCAATTGACACCATCCCAGAACTGCTGACAAACGGCAATACATTATAGGAGCCAGAGATCAATATGGTATAATGGTAGAATAGTTCAATGCCACTGTCCTTTTGTAATAACCTCTCATCTTTGTTTAAATTTGATGCTAGGTTCTGATTGTTAATCAATAAGCAGGAAGGTTTGTAAATACAATATTGTCCTGCAGACCAAAGCAACTTTGCTACAGACAATAGCTTCATAGTCATGCTTTTTTATTTTAAAATCTTATCCATTCATGGAAATCAATAGGGAACTGGAAACAACCCGAGCAGTAAAAAGTTTACGGGAGTGTGGGGAAAGAGCTGGAAAGTGGGATTAATAACAAAACACAATAGCACAGACATGATAGCCTGAATATCCTTCAATGTGCTGAAAACTTCTATTTTTTGATATTTCAATCCACCTCCCCCATCACCTCCCAGTGTCCCACCCCATCCATTTGATGCACTTCGAGATGTTGCCCTACACGTGAAGGACACCGCTGTAAATAAATGCAAGTTGTAATTTTGTTGTTGTAATAGCTGTTACAAAGCATTCTAGTTTGTATTAAAGTAGCTCACTAGATATTGGTCAGTTTCTTTGATTTGATAATATAAGGTGCTATATCAGATGCAAGTGTTATTGGAAAGGTCCATCATCAGCCACAAATGTCTCAGCATTGCACCCTGTAATTTTAATATTAAGAAGTAAATAATTAAAATGGAAATAGTATTTGGATCGGCATTAGCTTTAACAAGTCTTGAATGAAATGTTGCCTGCTATTGCACCAATTATCTCAGGGATTAATGCATTAATCATATGCAAAGGTGTAATTATTGTTTGACAGTTACATTTTCAGTGTCACAATTTATTCCTTACTTTGACGGATGAGGTCTGTTCAGTCTGGTTGGGGAGTTCGGTCGGACCCGGTGATGGGTTGGTTCATCCAGACATTTGCCCCTGTATTCTGCTGAGTAAGTGGTAGCACTTTTTAATCGCCTCCTATGTTCCCCGATCCAGGCAGTTCTCGCTCTGTGTCTGATTCTGTCAAACTCTTCTGGATCCAGAGGTCTGAACGGCATTTCAAAGCTTTGGTTCACTCCTTTGGTCCCTACCTTGAGTTGGTAGTTTGGAGTTTGATCAAACACAGAAGGCAGAGAATTGTTCATGGTTTCCAGCAATCATTGATTTAAAATAAAAATAAATTTTAAAAGTGCAATCTTTTGAAGAGAGATTTAGAAGTATTACTGGCTTCACAGTGGGTTGAGCTGAGCTGGTTCTGGTAGTACAGCATTCAGCATCACCAGTTTTGTTGATATGTTTTGCTAAGCAACAGGGTTAATAGATCTGTGTGCACCAGCTGTGGGCTACTCCAAACCTGTATAATTCATGCACTACAGTACTTCTGCTCACCAGGAACATGAACATGACATTATAGGAAATGTTAATGTTCAAGATTTAATTTTTAAAATAACTTCATTTCCAGCTTTTAAATGTTTAAGCGCTCTGATGGGTGCTATATAAATGCAGCTTGTTTCCTTAAAAATGTTCCCTCGGTCTTCTTTATTCTGAAGCGTCCTTTGCTGATTGTTTAATGGACTTTGTTCTTATAATCTCCCTGCAAAGTTTCTCCCCTCCACCACTGAAATCACTGCCTCATTCTGAGGTTCAGCTCTACAAGTGCTGGTCTCACCTTGATGCCTTGACCAAGTAGTCATTCTTCAAATACGATTTCAGTGACTGTCAGCTAGATACTTTCGGGTGTAGGGAATATCCCAGCTGAGACTGACCCTGTCCTTTGGGCTTTCTACACATGCAGTTTTGAGATACATTGCAAGATAAAGACTGAAGGAGGTAAGAGAGTTCCAGTGGTTTAAATGTGTTAAGTGAGTGTGTGATGAATGTTTGGTTGCAATAATTAGGGATGCAGGGAAGAGGAAAAATGTGTAGATTGGGAGGAAAATATAAAGGAGCAACAGCCATCGTGTAAATAATACATTGCAAGAGTTTGGCAGAGGTATTCGAGTGTGAAAGGATAGGAATCTAAGAGGAGTGAAAGTGAGCCATCAGTCAAAGCAGTGATAGTAATGTTTTATTTGGCCTCAGTGCATCAAGCTAAGGGGAGAGGTAACAAGTCAGTTAGAACTCCTGATCACCATTCAGTAACCCGTGAACCTCACATGAAAATATAATACATACATATAAAACATGGTCCAGCTCACTCTTCTTCTCCTCCTGCAATCGAATTACCTGCTGAGAGCCTCCAACCTGTGAAGAATGGCCACATGGGTAGATATTGGAGGGGCACCTTGGATCTGTTGAACCTGTTCTCCAGTCTTCAGCACAGCGAGAACGTTGAAGGATGGTGGGGGAAAGGCATCAAAGAAATTAGTCTTACTGCTGGGATAATAAAACTGAAACCTCTGTTCTATGCACAAAGTCATTTATTTTTGAAAAAAAAGTGGCAAATTTTATTTCTCCGTACGTTTTAAATCACAATCTCTATCAGCTTCTTGTTCACAAACAATTTACTTGCAGAACATTAGCAATAACTTACACAAACATTGTGCTGATGATTTCAAAAAGAACCAGTCAAGCAGCCTGCCCTGTTACACTGTTCTACACTGACTCGGCTTTCAGATGAATTTACTGACAGTTTAGAAAGACAAAGACAGCAGTAAACAGAGATTGTGCCTACAATTATTCTCCAATAAACAGTCTTTTAGTCAAATTATTTAATTCACCACATCTTTAGGGCTAGGAATAGGTGATAAAGTCACTGAGCAGTGTGCAACTGAGCGATGTTGGTCAAGATCCCAAGTTTGATCCTGTCAGTACCGGAGTTAAATATTGGCCAAGTGCTACAGTTGGCCCAGACTTCCCCCATCCCGGACCAGAAAAGAGTAAAATATTACTAGGGCTCCAAAACCTTATTACTTTAATACTTTACTGGAAACTGCATATGTCGGCATAGAACTGGACTTGGCAGTAATATCCTCTACAGTCGAACAACCTATATACATGGTCAAAGGTCATGATCAATGGTCATACATGATTAATGGCCACTTCAGTGAGGTAATGACAAGGAGCTCTGAAACTGCACCCAGCATTAAATGTCTTAAAAAACAGCAAAAATATATATATTTTGTAATAGTTGACAATTCAACACGTTAGAATTACCTCTGTTGATCAAAGCAAAAGAAACATGAAAGATGTTATAAATGGTGTTGACTGATCCTTACAATTTAAGAAATACAAACACATTGGCCAACCCAGCTGCAGCTTTGCAACACTTCATGTTAAAACATTTTAATGCTGGCTCTGGAACTACAAGCTCTCACCTTTCCATACAGGCCAGTGATGAGTATCTTGTGCTTTTCCCGAAGTTCAGAGAAGGTCCAATGCTCCAAAAACAAAATTCAACACTTTGTAACAGCTTTTACGTTGGCATTGGTGTTGTGCAGGAGATCTGCAGTGCACATTCTATAGCACCAAGAACCTCAAGTAAAGTGGCTCTTACAGTCAAACACTATATATCTCCTGTAGTGACTTTGAATTGCGAGGTTAAAATTCAGAAGTGCTGTTAACAACAGCAACAAAATTACACTTGTATAGAGCCTTTCACGTCGGGAGAACGTCCCAAGGCGCTAACAATAAAGATCACATTATCAAGATACAATAACGTGCAGCAGATCACCACTATACTAATAAATCATTACAGTAGATGATACATCAACTAATAAAATAATTTGTCAACAAAACAGTTATAATTCCATACCTAATACAAACATAAGTTTTATTAGATCATTTAAATTAATTCATTCCTTCAAAACATTGAGGTAAAATTAGATTAGTTTTCACTGTACTTAAATCAACATTATTAAAAACTGAGTCAGCACAAAAGTTAAAATCACTGCAGTTCTTACTATAATGCCACTAATGTTTTTATATATGGTCTATAATCATAAATGTGTTTCGAAATCAGCATCTGATTTCGTACAATTCAAAGATTGAGAAACAGTCCACGTTATCTTGTATTATCTTTTAATATAAATCTATTTATTACAAACAGAAGATACTTCAAGGAAATCTTTCCATAAACAATTCATTTCTACAATAATTAAAGTAGCAATATATCTAACTGTTGAGTAGGAAAATGATGAACAAATTATGGCCAGATTATACAGACTTCCAAGAAACAAATCACAAATTAACTTGAATTATTTTTAGCAATGAACAAACCACCCAACAATCTTCATCAAGTCACAGCTATACAAAGATCCCAGCGACTCAGAAAGGAATGTTCCTTTAAAAGCACTTTGGATAATGAAAATGTGCAAAATAATTTTAACTTTATAAATACTGGTTATCAAAAAGTCATACCATTACAGTGTCTAATAAATCATAAAGAAAATATGATATTTTTGTTTGATTTAGATAATATCATGATTTTTTGGTCACCCTGTACATGTTAATTCATAGTTGCTCAATATTACAGTATTGTGTTCCTTATATTCATTCCTTTGTTGAAAATGCCTTTAGAAGCAAATCTGCAGCCAAAACAGGAGTTATCTCACCATGGACAACTTTAGCTTCTATACTAGGAACTTGATTCCTGACAGCTGGATGGTTATAGAAGGACTCCAGAATATTTTCTCTGATCAAATTCCACATCCACACCTTTAGCTGGTTTTGTCTTTTTATTTGCAGCTCTTCACTTGCAAACATTGAGGTGTGAAATTCAGTCATTTTCTCCCAAAGTTCAGGAATCCCTTTCCCACTTTTTGAAGAAATACTCATCACCTGAAAGAGAAAGGACATAATTTTTCAAAATCAATGCAATATATATTGAATGAGCTGCTCTTGCAAACTTCTTAGATGTTAAAATTATCAAAAATAAAAAGGTGATACTTAAAGAGATTTCTGGAAATGAAATTATTGGTAATTAGACTTCAATTAAATGTTTGTTTATGCACAAGCCATTTCTGGCACATTTCCTAATGTTGATATTTTAATCATGCAATTAATTTACATTAACTTCAATGCTGGCTACAATATGTGTATTTTAGTTTTTGTATCTACTGTATCTGAAAGCATGTTATACAAACTCTTAATTTGAAAATTGGAAATTCAGCTTTCATTTATATGCAAGTATAAAAAAGTGCAATTTTATGTTAGGTAGATTTTCTTTTAGGATTAAAATTGGGATGGCAGAAATTAAGAATAATACACAGCTAAAGTAAGTGGATAAGTGCCACGATTTGAATAAACCAGTGAAGATCATAATAGTTATTTCTTTAGAGTAGCAAATTAATTATTAATTTGAGTGCTTCCTTGGATCAATGAAGTGATGAGTAATTGGTTTATCATCAGATTTTAATTTGACTTTACTATACAACCCAGGCTTTTTCAGTCTAAAAAGTATATTTACTTTATTTAAGTTAATATTGGTTTAATTAATTTCCTAAAGTTGGGTAAGTTTATGACTTACATTCTACATTATAAGATGACTATGTCATCATTAACATTTGTAATAATTATTTACATTAACAACTCATCATATTAGTATAACTTAAGACTTTAGATGTCTTTCATCCACCTCATTTATACTGTTCATCATTTTCAAACTGGATGATGTTTCCTCAGAATATTTTGCTTCAAATGAGATCCTGTCCAAGAAACCTCTTCTCATTACTTAATCCTCACCAATCCTCCAAACCAATTCTGTTGCTCTTTGCAGCCTCTGTAATGACTGAATGTCCTTTTGAAGTAACGTACTCAACACTATTCCAAATATAACCCCATAATTAGTGTCACAACCTTCAAATTTCATAAAAACAAATCTTGCAGCAAGACTTCATTCAGTTTGTATTAAAGCAAAATTGAATTTTATTTTACGCTCCCTCTGGATTTCCATCCAGAATATGATAATTCTTCCATCTTTTTCATCCTATCAACCTTTTTCCAGCTCTTGATATCTCTTTTCTACATTCAAGCATTTATGTACATTATTGTCTGTTTCAGGTGTATTCAAATATTGTTTTTGGAAAGAAGCTGCAATTAACTACTGATTTTATCAGACTCTAGTCTGTTTTCTCTTTGATGTTTTCATATGTTGTTTTGGAAAATAACTAAAAAATTGCAACCATGACACTTTAAAAAAAAACTGAAAGAAGCCCTTAATATAAATAGGGAAGTGCAATGTGCATCAAGTTCATATCCTCTAGAAAATTACAGGAGGCCACTTCAAGATCCTATTTTACACCCATCAATGCTGGAGCATATTGCTGCCATTGCATATTCTTGACAAGACCTAGAACATAAACCAAAGACCATCAGAAATTGACACTCACTGGACTACCTACAATATATACAGTATTGTTACTCTCATGGAAATGCTCACCCTCAGCATAAACCAGCTAATTAATATCCTCTTCTATACAGTGTGTCAGTGCATCCTTGAACCAACATGAAAGGAGTGAAAAATAAAACCAGAATCAATCGAGGCCACTCTTATTTATCTCCTATTTATTGATTACAGAATTTGCAAAGGTAGCTTGCAATTCTGGGGAAAACAGCACATAACACAGTGTGTTTAAAAAAAAAGAAGCAAATCCAACAAATTGGGCATACATAATTCATAATCCATAGAACATACTACCTTTGGCTTCCAGATCTTGGAGGATTTATGAAGGAATTTCAAAGCACTGGTATATTCCGTTTGTATTCTTCTTGCAGGAACAACAAGGTCTCCATCAGCTTTGGTTACAACAATTAAATCTGCCATCTCTATTATACCACGTTTAATTCCCTAAGAAACATAAAACAAAATCAGCATTGTGAACCAGGGCAACTTTGGATGGTCAGGACATCAAATTCCATTGAAGTATTTTACCGAAGTTGCTTTTAACTCCACCTGGGATCACATATTAGACAATCTGAACATTTAAAATAAAATATTGGCAGGAAACAAAATGGATTCTCAGAGGTTCTGTTAAAAATACTTCCTTTTCAACTGTTCCTATTGCATTCCATTCATATCCTTTTTTGATAACAATGTGCAACCTTCTTGACTGGACCTCTCTACAGCTAATATTTACACTGCTTTGTGACTTGACTGCAGCAGGAACACTTGTGCTGGGAGGGACAGATTCTGTCACTACCTTTATATTCTATATGCTGTACCTCTCAAGTACTGATCACCTTTTCCAAAGCTGTTTAATTAATTTAAAATTCAACAGCATCATGATTATAGTCTCAACCCTCAATTATAGGTACAAAAGCAGTCTGGTCCTAAAATAAAGAACTCCTAAATAAAGCTGTATTACGTTGTTGGACCAAACATTATAATTGCCATGTTTTAAAAAATATATATATTTTGTTTTTGGAAAACAGTGTCCAGCTGCACATGTGAATCTAATAGTCAAATGTGTGCAGTAATTGCAATAGCTGTAGATAAGTTATGTCCATTACATTACTAATTTCTGAATTTCTACCAGCTGACAAGTTAAAAAATAGAATATATCAATAAAATGTGTTAATGATACAATCTAGCCAATCTTATCAGACAAATCCGGAAGCATTTGTCATACTGCCAGAAAAACAATTAGGTTTTACATGGTAAGTTGATACTCAAACCCCAAAAATCTCCCATCATAGAAGAATCCATTTATCAAAGTAATATCTGTAGTAAATCTCTGAAGTACACTACCCTTTTTTTCAGAAACCTTTACATGTACCAATGACCTAAGTTGACAATACATCTAACACTGCAAAATTAGAGCTTTTATTGTACATCATTATATCTTAACACAGAAATAATTGAATCATCAAAATAAAATGTACAGTGAGCATATCAAAGGCTGCTTAATAAATAGTGTTTACAATCTTAAGGAAATTGGGATGGATTATATTACTGGGTAAGTACTTCAGTATGAGATAACCATGCATGAATATGATGCAAGTACAATCTACTGATAGATTTAAAAACATTAACACAATTTCAAACCACTTCATATTAAAATTGCCTGAACCCCATCTGTCTGAACAGAAATTAATTTGAATTCAACAAAAAGGGAACAGAACATTTTAAATCCCAAAACAAATCAACATAAATAATAATAATAATAATCCTCGCATTTGATATAGCGCTTTTCACGTCGGGAGGACATCCCAAAGCGCTTCACAGAACACACTGTAAAGTGAATTGACTGTATATTTGTGGGCGAACGCGGCAGCCAATTGCGCACAGCAATGTCCCACAAACAGTCGTAGATTGAAAATGACCAATCTATTATTGTTTCGTTTTGAAGGGATTATTATTAGGCTCTGTGTGGAGTAAGGAAACTTGCCCAAGGTTTCGCCCTCTGCCTGGAATTGAACTCAGGTCTCTCGCTTGCAAAGCGAGTGCTCTAACCACTGAGCTACAGGACTCCACTGTTGACAAATAAAGGCACTAGCAATAGCATTCACATTACGATTTGTCTTGCACTTGCCATATGGTCAGAATGTTTTAATTATTCATTAAATTCTTGGGGAAATTGGGAAAAGGGACAGTTAAATTTACAAACTGTTCAGTTGTGTCATGATGAACTATTACTATATCTAGAGTTCACTATCCAATATTCTGCCGGCAAAATGTTACAGGTCGATTTCTTCAATGCAGCAGATTTTATAATTTTTGAGATCTTCTTTAATGCCAATTTCTGTCACCAATAATTCCATTTATGCATATGAGATAAAATTGCTGTTATCAATCCGTTACCACTACAATGATATACATATCTGACTGAGAAGAGATTTAGAGGATATATGGATAGGAACTGGCAGGTACTCAATTACTCCATGGGACAAGATAATTTCTGTGCTGTTGAGAGAATATTTTTTGTGGAGGGAGGAAAGAAAGCATCGGTTGAAAGTGGATATTGGGTGAAAAGAATATTCTGGATTTTTGTTCAATTGCCTTCAGGGATAGTTGTACAATTAGTATTAGCATCACTGTTTACATACTCAAATGGAAAGCCCCCAGACTACATGAAACAATTGCTTTCTTGTGGAATGTAGAATTAAAAGGGATCTCACATATTTAAATATTAAAATTCAACAAGAGATGATAATTTAAAACAAATGATCAGCGATGTTTAACTCACCTGCAGTTCATCTCCTCCTGCTGGTGGAATCAATAAGACAAACATGTCCACCATATCTGCCACAGCAAACTCAGACTGACCCACGCCTGAAAAGAGCACAACACAGCTCATGCAGTATTATTGTTATAATAATAATAATGATCCTTGCATCTGATAGAGTGCCGTTCATGTCAGGAGGAGGTCTAAAAGTGTTTCACGACATGTGCTGTAAAGTGTCAGCACCCAAATTGCACACAGCCACATCTCACAAATAGCCATGGAGTGAATGATCATTTGTATTCAGGTAATTGTTGTCCAGGACACTGATAGTAACTCCCTGCAGAAATAATACCACACGAAGAAAATCATACTACCTTAATCTAATAAATTTAACTTGATAAGACCAATTTATTATAACTCTTAAATGTTGAATAACTCCAACTAACTTTCCCTACTAGCTGTGTGGGATTTATATGGTTCTAAATGTTTTGTTTTCAACTTTCAAATGAACGTGTCGACTGAAGCATAATTCATGCTGCAACAACTCAAAAGCATGAAATATACAGACAGCATTGTACTGGAAAAATATCATCACTCATCGTATTAAATCGGCTTATGTCAGAAGAGGGACTAACAAATGACTCGGTGCAAGCTGCTACTTGTCACATTCATCACAGGTAACATGAAAACCAATCTAGCTAAGACAAAATGCCCATTTCCACCAAAAATACAAAACAGCAGTCAACTTTCTGAAGTCTTGACTTTCTGCCACTGTGTTTGTTTACGAAGCATGCTGATAACATTTAGTGAAATAAATGTAATCTTGCAAGTAGCTGACTAAATGTCTAAACATGTATCTAGCATATATTTGCATGTATATTTAGTGGAAATTAAGAAAACTGGTACAGTGTGGTGTAATGGATAGTTACAGACCAGGAGCTGTGGTGAGTTTGGAAGTGAGTCAACATTTCGGGTCCACAACCCTTCGTCAAAATGGGTCTGTTCTGACGAGGGGTCGTGGACCTGAACCGTTGACTCACTTTCCTTTCTCCATAGATGCTGCCTGACCCGCTGAGTGTTCCCAGCCACTTCTGTTTTTGTTTCAGATTTCCAGCATCTGCAGTATTTTGCGTTTTGCTGTGTTGAGTTTGCTGGGCTCAACCAGGGCGGCACGGGGAAAGCTAAGTTACTCCCCAAGGAGAAAAAACCGCCAAGACCCCAGCAAGAGGAGTCCAGACCAGGAGACAATGGGGAGAAAGTGAGAAAAAAAGGACACAATCTCTTTTAAAAAATATTTAAGAGATAATTTTCCTTTTACCTACAGCTTACCTACTGTTTCTATAAGAATGACATCATATCCTGCTCCTTCACATAAAATGATTGCTTCATTTGTGTTTCGTGTTACTCCTCCCAATGTACCCAACGTGGGGGATGGCCGAATGTAAGCGTTCATGTCCCTTGAAAGCTCGGTCATACGTGTTTTATCACCCAAGAGTGATCCTGAAATATAAAAAAGAAATGAAAAACATTGTTAAAATCAATTAATTTCCAGTAAAATGTTGAAAATTTACATCTTATTAAAATGGAAATAATAATAACCCTTACACCTGATAGCACCTGTCACAATCGGGAAGATGACTCAAAGCTTTTCACACTGTTTTATATCGGAGTACATACTGTGATATAAAGCAACTTGTATTTTTTAGGTGAACACCGCAACCAATTTGAGTTCAGCAGTGTCCCACTAACAGCCATAAAGTGAATGATCAATTTTATTTGGGGGATTGTTGGCCAAACACTGGAAGAATCTCCTTAGTCTTTTCGAACAGTGCCATGTTATCCTTTAATGTCCACCCAAACAGGGAGGTGGCGGCCCAACGGACGGCACCATCATCCCGTGACAATATTTCAAATGTGCTGCCATTTTTAAATATTATAAATCATAATGCATTAATTTAGTAATAATAATCTTTGCTTTTGATATAGCGCTTTTCACGTCTTCTCGACGTCTCAAAGCGCTTCACAGAATAGACTGTAAAGTGACCATATACTTGTGGGTGAAACGCGGCAGCCAATTGCGCACAGTAGTGTCCCAACAAACAGTCGTGGATTGAAAATAGCCAATTTATTATTGTTTTGTTTTAGAGGTATTATTATCAGGCGTGTGGAGTAAGGAAACTTGCCCAAGGTTTCGCCCTGCCGGGAATTGAACTCAGATCTCTCGCTTGCAAGGCGAGTGCTCTAACCACTGAGCTACAGGACTCCACAATTTCACCTTAGTAAGTTGAAAGTAGATATGAAACTCATTTTGTTGTTCCATATAAAAACTTTCATAATATAATTTCTTACTTATAAAAATCAAAGTCACTACTTGTGAGAGGAATTTCTCACCATAGATGCTACATTTTAAAAGCAAACTTAATCGTAACATTGATCATATATATAGATACAATATTCAAGTTAAAACAGTCACAGCAAGCATTTACCCCAATGAGATGCTCTAACACTGAGGTTTCCCAGTTATGTTCTTCCTCCCCGTGGGAAGGTAAGAGGATCTCCTTTGAGCTGAGTTGGCTCCAAGGTGACTTGTCGGGCAATGGAATATCAGAATGGAGTCAACCCTCTGTGCCAGTCTTGATAATCTGGTTTCTGAGTCAAGCAGATTTACAGTACTCCAGGAAACTATTACTGAAAAACTAGCCAGCCTGGCTCATTGGCGGGGGGGGCTGAGAGGCCATGGCAGGGATTCTTCCCACTCAGTTCCTGTTAACCCTGCAAGTCCCAATCCCGAATGGGTAGGTTGGTAATAACTGGACAAGAAGCAAGAAACTTACTCTCAATGGAAAGTTGTGTGATTTTAGCTGAACTCCAGCAGTATTTCAAAACATACTCTGGAGTCTCCAAGCCATGGCTCTCACCAACCTGCACATAGGATTTCTGGAATTAGTTAAACAGGTTGCATCCCTCCAGGGAGAGAATGCATTCCATTCCAGAAACAGGGACATTTCCATGTGTATGTGACTATACATATATGGAATTTTCGATCTAGTTTTGATACCCTTAAGCATGGTGATGAGTTTCTGCTAGTGTCAGATACCAGGCTACACCAAAATAAATGGTTATTTCACGTAAGCCCACTTTCCTTATTCAATTATCTCATCAATGTTTGAATGGAATTCTATGTTTATAAGATCTTGCTAAACTATGTTTCCTTCACAGTACAAAGTGTTTTAATAGTTCTGCTATTTAAAATAAAAATAAACTGCTTTTCAAAAGACTGTACATAATCTTGCCTATCATCAACCACCCAATGTCTGCCACTCCCTATTCAGCATTATTGAGTCACTGTGCTTAATTTATACAATGGGTGTTGTCTCAGCTCTGTAATATCATGACTATGTTTTTTTTTCCCCCCTCCCTCAACATATTCTTCCATGATGATGTGCATCAAAAAATACCCAATTGTTTTATAAACACCAATATTACTTGGAGTCATGTAGCTCAGCGGTTAGAGCTCTCGCCTTGTAAGCGAGAGACATGGGTTCAATTCCTGACAGGGCAAAACCTTGGGCAAGTTTCCTTACTCCACACACCTGATAATAATCCCTCAAGAAAAAAAAACAATAATTTGGTCACTCAATCCATGACTATTTGTGGGACACTGCTGTGCGCAATTGGCTGCCGTGTTTCGCCCACAAATATACAGTCAATTCACTTTATAGTATATTCTGTGAAGAGCTTTGAGATGTCTGGAAGAGAGGATTATTATTATTATTACTTCTCCATTGTATGATTAGACCACATAGGTGTGTTATGATACAATGGATCCAATTCAACTGAAAATATTTGTATTACATCATGTCTTCAGCCACTACACCTCTGAACTCTAAAACTCCCTACTTCAATCCCTCTGCCTCACCCCTCTTCATCCATCTTTAAACCCCACCTCAAGATTTACCTTCTCCTTCTCCCTTGCTCAGCATCCAATCCCACTACTATGCAGCTCTCTAAGATGCTATCCTGAACGAAGGGCGCTATATAAATGCAAGTTATTTTTGTGTTGAGCGTAGGACTTTCTGGCACTGAAACTGTTCTTACACAACCTTGTGCTAGTATTGTTAGCATGACTCAGTTGATAGCTCTCTTGCCTCTGAATCAAAAGCTATATAAATGCAAGTTGTTGCTATTGTGGGTTCGAGCCCCATATCGGGATTTTGAATTCATATAGTCTAAGATGACACTCTAATGACGTGCTGAGGGCGAGCACTATTCGAGATTCTATCCTTCAGATGAGACATTTAGAGTGGATTTTATAAAAATCCCATGGCAATATTCAAGAACAGAAGGGAGTTCCTCCGGGTGTCCTGGTCAACAATCCCCTAATAAAATTGGTCATTCGCTTCATGGCTGTAGGCGGGACAAGGCCGTGGGCAAATTGGTTGGCGTGTTTTCCCACAAAACACACACAGTTACTACACTTTATAGTATATCCTTTGAAGTAACTGTGAGACATCCTCCTGACGTGCAAGGTGCTACATGAAATGTAAAGCATTTTAGTTCTATATGTGACTTCTCACCTACCTCCAGTTTTGTTTGAAGATGGATCAACAGCTAAAACAGCAACTTTGTGTCCCTTTCCTGTCAACATTTTCCCAAATGTTTCAATAAGTGTGGATTTCCCAGCACCAGGTGATCCAGAGAGGCCTGCAGGTCCAAACGAGTAAATTGAGCAACCAGTTCAGGATTTATTTTGCGATACATCTAAGCTGTGACTTCAAGTCCCTGCTAACTAAGTTCTCCACAAAGCACCCAATGCCTCGATGTGTTAATCTTATAAATATTATAAATTGCTAATTATTTGACATCTTCAGATTACTTAAGCAAGTAATATTGAATGAGAGGCAATGGATGTTTTAGCTCGACAAAGATTTAGCACACAAAATGTTACGTCATTCTTTGCATTGTATTTTATATTCCACACAGTTGCTTAATTAAAAGATGATTATCATTTCAAAATATTATCCAAAGAGAACCTCAAAACAGAACTGTAATCAAACCCCACTTACTCATCGTAGAGGATGCCACGTGAACATGTTTTTCTAAATTGTTATAATTTTTTTCTGTACCTCCAGACAACCTAATGTAAATGTAGTATTGCATATGTCTAAATTAGTAACAGTTCAAATTCAGAAGGGCAATCCCGCCAATCGTTGGCCAGACTTTGTACAGACACAAGATTTATTCTAGGTGATCCTGGTGAGTGTTTTATAACTTACTGATATGATAATCAAATCATTTCACTGGGAAACAATCAACTTTTTGCGATTAGATTCTGGCGATTATTACCGTGTTCGGACATGCACCCCATCACAGTGACACACTCAGTGATATTGACACACCCAGTGACACACTCAGTGACAGTGACACACGATGACGGGTGAGTGACACCCTCAGCGAGTGGCACCCTCAGCGAGTGGCACCCTCAGCGAGTGGCACCCTCAGCGAGTGGCACCCTCAGCGAGTGACACCCTCAGCGAGTGACACCCACAGTGACACTGACACCCTCAGCGAGTGACACCCTCAGCGAGTGACACCCTCAGCGAGTGACACCCTCAGCGAGTGACACCCTCAGCGAGTGACACCCTCAGCGAGTGACACCCTCAGCGAGTGACACCCTCAGCGAGTGACACCCTCAGCGAGTGACACCCTCAGCGAGTGACACCCTCAGCGAGTGACACCCTCAGCGAGTGACACCCTCAGCGAGTGACACCCTCAGCGAGTGACACCCTCAGCGAGTGACACCCTCAGCGAGTGACACCCTCAGCGAGTGACACCCTCAGCGAGTGACACGCGATGACACTGACACACTCAGCGGGTGAGAGGCCAACACTCACCTATCCTGAAGGCCGGACGCTCGGCCCCGCGCCGCCCGGCCTTGTCCCGCTCGTGGCTCAACACCCTCAGCAGCAGCAGCTGAGCCAGGAGCTTCTTGCGCCTGTGAGACGACTCGACCAAAGTGATGGCCTCGGCCAGGCAGGCGCGGTCTCCCCGGGTCAGCCCGGAGTACAGGTGATCCACGAGCCGTCGCTCCCGCTCGGACTCGGCCGCCTCCGCCACCCCCGCGCTCAGGCTCAGGGGCCGTGGGCTCGCGCAGTAACGGCCGCCCCTCGCGCCGCAGCCCCAGCCCCAGCCGCACGCGGACAGCGGCCCGGAGCCGGCGCCGAGGCCGGGGAGCATGCGCGCCGCCGCCGCCGCCAACGGTCGCCCCCTCGCGGCGGGGCCGCTCCGGAGCATGCGCGAAGCTCCCACCACCACCACCGGTCGCGCTTCGCAGCCGCGCCAGCGGTTCGGCCAGTGGGACAGGAGGGAGCAGCGGCTCATTCGCCCGCGCCCGCGCCGCGCCTCCCGCCGCGGTTAGCAATGCAACGGAAGGTTTGTGGAGCAGCCCTGTTCGATCGCCGCCGTCCCTCAGCCTCTCCCGACAGCGTTTACCACAGTCGTTGCCGCCGGGCCGGGAAGGAAGGGAAGCGGCCCACCACCCACTGTTTCCGGTGGCCAGTCTAACCACGCGTGCGCAGGAGGTGATGGTTCCGATTGGAACCCCTGGAAGCCGCCATCTTTGATGAGGGCAATTGTGACGTCGTCGTCGTGGTCGACGACGACAACAACAACAACAAAAAAAGACATTTGTATCGCGTCGGGAGGACGTCCCAAGGCGCTGGACAGTCAGTGTTTGGGACCCGAGCTGGGGGTCGGGATCAGGGCGGGGGCAAGGAGGGTGATCAAAGGCACGGTCGAAGAGGAGGGTCTCGAGGTGGGGCTTGAAGGTGGCGACGGAGGGGGCTGAGGCGGAGGGACCGCGGGATGGAGTTCCAGAGAGTGGGGGCAGAGTGGCTTAAGGCCCTCCGGCCAACGGGCGGCGGGGGAGGGGGGGGGGGGTGAGCGAGGCGGGGGACGTGAAGCAGAGGCCGGAGCCCGCTGAGCGGAGGGAGCGGACAGGGTGGGAGGGGGTTAGGTCACAGAGGTTGGGGGGGGAGCGAGACCGTGACGGGCCTTTGAAGGTGAGGACCAGGATCTTGAACTGCATCCTCGGTGAGATGGGAATCCAGTGGAGTCGGGCGAGGATGGGGCTGATAGGGTCGCGGAGCCCGGTGCGGGAGAGGACGTGGGCTGCAGAGCTCTGGATGATCTGCAGCCCGTGGAGGGAGGAGTTGGGGAGGCCGACAAGCAATGAGATTGCATAGTCGAGCCTCGATGTTATGAAGGCGTGTATGAGGGTTTCGATGGCCTGCAGTGTGAACAGTGGCGGAGCCGGGTGATGTTGCGGAGTGGGGAAACCCAGAGTGGGTCACGGCACGGATGTGGGGCAGAAAGGATAGTTGAGGGTCAATCAAGACGTCAACCTCCTGGACTGGCTCAGTGAGGTGGAGTGTGCATCCTTGGATGTTGATGCTGTCGGCGCCAGAGGTGTGGAAGCGCTGACGGGAGCCCATCAGGAGGGCTTTGGTCTTGTTGACATTCAACTGAAGAAAGCAGCCTTTGCCCCTTCAATAGTTCTTAGCCCCTTTTGCCCATCTCTTTTCTCCCTTTTGCCCATCTCTCTCTCTGTTTCTCGTTTTCCTTCCTGGTGTACTTTCACGCACCAGGTTCCGTGACCCCATCACTCCCTCCCTCGCCCGACTTCACTGGCTCCCCATCCCCCAGAGGATTGAGTTCAAGATCCTCATCCTCACCTTTAAGGCCATCCATGGCCTTGCCCCCTCCTACCTCTCTGACCTACTGACTCCCTACCAACCTGCCCACTCTCTCCGTTCAGCGGGCTCCAGCCTACTCCATGTCTGCCGCCCGACCCGCCCTACTATCGGTGGCCGGGCTTTCAGCCTCTCTGCCCTCACACTCTGGAATTCCATCCCATGGTCCCTTCGCCTCGCTTTCTCCCTTGCCTCCTTTAAGGCCAGTCTCAAGACCCCTTCTCTTCGACCGTGCCTTCGGTCACCCTCCCACCTCTCTGCCTTCCCTCATCCCTACACCACCCCTCCCCCCATGCTTGGGCCCTGACTGTTCAGCACTGTGGGACGTCCTTCTGACGTGAAAGGCGCTCTAAAATGTAATTTTGTTGTTGTTGTTCATAATCTTGAATATCTTGGGACATTTTCCTAATCACAAAAAACGAGACTCAACTTCTTTAATCCGCCTCATAATTTTGATTTTGTAATACTGGGACCAGCCTGGTTCCTCACTTATGTAGTCTTTATTATCCTTCCATTGCAGTTCATCCACAAAATACAGTCAATCCACTTTACAGTCCGCTTTCACGAAGCTGTGAAGCGCTTTGAGACCTCAATGACATGATAAGACTCTACATCAAATGCAAGGATTATTATTATTTTTACGAGCCTTCATCGCTCAACAGCAATAGTTGGAGGTGCAGGCTAGTCACTTCCCACTACACACCTGTTCAGAGATTCATAGAATATTACAGCCAGAAGGAGGCCATTCAGCCCATTGTGCCTGTGCCGGCTCTTCGGAAGAGCTACCCAATCAGTCCTTTTCAAGTACCTATCTAATTCCGTTTTGAAAGTTGTTATTGAATTTGTTTCCACCATCCTTTCAGGCAGTGCATTCCAGACCGCAAACTCAATCATNAAAAATTATCATCTCCCCTCTGGTTCTTTTGCTAATTATCTTACCTCTATTTCCCCTGGATACAGACCCACCTGCCGGGGAAACAGTTTCTCCCTATCTACTCTCATCATTATTTTGAACACCTCTATTAAATCTCCCCTTAACCATCTCTGCTCTAAGGAGAACAATTCCAGCTTCTCTAATCTCTCCACGTAACTAAAGTTCCTCATCCCAAATACCATTCTGGTAAACCCCCTCTGCACCGTCTCCAAGACCTTGTATCCCATCGGACTGGGTGACTTCTACTTTGAGTGCTGGTAACCTTTTTAGTAGCATTTAGTACCTCAGCCATGCCCTCTGCCTCCACAAGACGTTTTGCTCCCTAATCGGCCCCACCTTTCCTTTGACCCCCCTTTTGCTCTTTATATGTTTATGGAAGACGTTAGTGTTCCCTTTTATGTTACCTGCTAATCTTTTCTCATATGCTTCTTTGCCCTTCTCATTTTCTTTTTTCAGTTCTCCTCTGCACTTTCTGTATTCTGTTTGCTTCTCCAGTGTATTTTGAACCTGGCATTTATCATACGCCTCCTTTTTTTGTTTCATATTAATCCCAATTTCGTTAGTTATTCAGGTAGCTCTGGTTTTGGATGCCCTATTTTATGGGAATATGTTTGGTCTGTACCCTAAGTATCTCCTCCTTGAAGGCCTCCCATTGCTCATTTACCATTTTCCCCATCAATCTTTGTTTCCAATCCACCTGAGCCAGAGCCCTTTTCAACTCTCTAAAATTAGCCAGTTGAGTAGCTTCACCTTTGATTGTTCCTTGTCCCTTTCCATAACTTCTCTAAACTTAATGATATTGCGATCCAGGTGCTCTCCCACTGAAACCTGCTTCACTTGCCCCACTTCATTCCCCATAAGATCCAGCACTGCTTCCTTCCTCGTTGGGCTGAAAACATACTGATCAAGAAAGTTCTCCTGTACATATTTTAGGAATTCTTCCCCTCCATGCCCTTAACATTTTTTTCACAGTCTATGTTAGGATAATTGAAGTTCCCCTATTATCACTACTCTTGTTTTTACATCTTTCTGTAATTTGCTTGCAGATTTTTGCCTCTATCTCCTTCCCACTATTTGGTAGTCGATAGTATACATGCAGTAGCGTAACAACTCAACTCTAATCAGATAGATTCTGTCTTTCAGCCTTCCAGCACATCATTCCTTTCCAGGGCTGTAACAATATCTTTGATCAATACTGCCACCCCACCTCCTCTTTTTCCTTCTCTATCCTCCTGAATAAATTACAGCCAGAAATGTTAACCTCCCATTCCTGCCTTTGTTTCAGCCAGCTTTGTTATTGCCACTACATCATAATACCATTTGGCAACTTGCGCCTGCAACTCACCAACCTTATTTGTCACACTCTATGCATTTACACACATGCACTCCAAAACTGTCTTTGTTCTGCTTTACATTTCTTCCGTCTGATCGCTTCTTTTTCTGGACTACTCTTTATTCCAGTTATTTGTCTCTCCCAGTCATCTATGTTCCTTGTTTCTCCTCTCTGATGCTATTTCCTGGACCCCCCCCCCCCCCATCTCCCGCCACCAAATTAGTTTAACCCCTTTCCGTTAACCCTTCAAGCCAAATTCCTAATGGGTAGAATGGTCCTTTCCACAAGCAGTGAAAAACTTGCCAGTCAGTGTTCAGAATTGCAAACTTTTTAATCGGGTTGAACTCCAATGAGTACCATAATGCACTGGCTTTCCAAGCCTTGGTGCTTAAAAATCTGCACCTCATGCTTTCTGGTATAATTTTGAGCAGAAAGTTACTTTCTGGGAGAAGAGTACCTACTCTGCACAAACTAAAATGACTTTACTTATGTGGAACTCTTACTGGTTTGCTTTGGATACTCCTTAAACGCGATCAGCGCGTGTCAGCCTGGCTGAGTGGTAGCACTCTCTTTGAATCAGAAGGTTCTGAAGGTTGAGTCGAGCCCCATATCAGGACTTGAACTCACATAATCTAAGATGACATTCCAGCGCAGTGCTGGGGTGCATTGCATTGACGCAGGAGTGTGTGAGATATCCAGCTGACAAAAAAATTCTTCTGAAGAAAGAATAAATCCAGGGCAGTACTGAAAAAAATGTTTTATGTCAGGAAGTCTCAAAAATATTTCCAAAGTATATACTGTGATGTGTAATGCTTGTTTTTGAGGCAAACAATCACAAGGTGAATAATCAATTTATCTGGAAGATTGTTGACCAGGACCCCAAAAGAAATTCCTCTCTTTTACAACATCAACTTGCATTCATGTAGCGCTCTTCACGCTGGATAGTGTCCTGGAGGGCTTTTTAAAGTAGTAATAGAATATTTAACATACAACTGAACAAGCAAACGAGTCTACTCAAAATGTAGAACTCCCACATATTGAACTGAAATGTTTGACTTGCAGGTAAGAGTAATTCCAAAAAGAAACTAATACTTTGCGAGCACACAAAAATTGAAGTAAATATTGCTTACTTACACCTCTTTTTCAGGTAACTTTTAGTTTGTTTAGAAGCAGTAGGTTTGTTCAGAGTATCTAGGATAACTGGTGATGCATGTGAGTATTTACTTGTCTTGAAAAATCACGATGCAAAGCTGACACCTCTGGAAGAAGCATTGTATTTTTGTTGTTAATTGATGTCTTTTAGATATGTGAAAGCCTTTCTTGCCCTTCCAGTTCATTCAGAAAAACACAAAGGATTCCATGGTTCTATTTCAAACTTAAGTCTAATATTCCTTCAGTATCCAAATTCATACAACAGCTTGTCACCCATAATTGCTGTTTGTGTAGCTCTTATGCTTTGCTGCTGCATTTTCATATGTAAATCAGTATCTTTGAAAGTGACCTTGTGAAGTACCTTGAGACATTTCAGTATGCAAGTATGTTTATTCCAATTCAGACTCGCATGATTTGAACACTGGCTAGACTTGTTTTCCTGTGTTGACCACATTCTCTATAATATGGAGTTTTTATTTGCTGGTTGAATAGGGCACCCTATTCTACACACTTAGATTAGTCTTCTAATAAGTCATTAAGCTGACTGGAAGGCAGGAACTGTCAGCAAAATATAGATTTGCAATCTCAAATCAATATTCACATGAAAATGTTTTTTTAAAAAAGATAGGAACATAGGAAACAAGACGCCATTGAAGCCTATTCTGCCAGTTTATTAGATCTTTTAATGCCTACTGTATGTACCATTTGAGCACACAAAACAACATTCAGAGCTAACTGAAGATTAACATTTGAACCGCATGTCCTCTTTGGAACAGTAGATGAAGCTATGATGAAGTTGGTACAGTGGTGTCCCACAAACAGTCGTGGATTGAATGACCACACATTTTTTGTGAAGGATTATCCCCGGAAAAGCAATCCGCCAATCGACTACCAACCAGGTTCCTACTTGGTGAACAGAGGCGTGTGTGTGGAGTAAGGAAACTTGCCCAACGTTTTGCCCTGACCTGCCCAGGAATCGAACCGGTCCTCTCTTGCGAGGTGAGCTCTCTCACCACTATGCTACATTAATCCACATGACATCCCAACTTACTCAACTCAAAGAGAAAACATTGCTTTACTTAAATATGTGGCGTTGTACAAAGATCTCTAGCGCAGAATGTGTGACGTTAGATCTGTCTATGATACAGATTTACTACTAAATACCCTGTCGGCTTACTACCATTGACAGAAATAACGGGCAACACACAAACATACTCTATAAGTTAACATGCAATTAATATATTGTGAAATGCTAAATTCTTAAGACTTTACCTAAACCTCCTTGTATTAAACTCTACACCTTTGGCTTTGTGTGGTCAGGCATGCAAGTGTGGAAGTTCACATACATGGCGAATAGACTAGTGTCTCTTAACAATAAAATCTTCGTTCTAAATTTATGATAGAAAAATAAAAAGGAATAAACCTGCATTTTTGGGAGGTTTCATTTCTGAAGAGATATCCGACCGCTGGGGCAACACAACAGTTTTTGTGTACGGTAACAGACAGAGAGCAGTCAAGATGCGAGCTAAAAACTGAGCTCTTTCTGTGTTGCTACCTTCTGAGTGAGAGACACTTGTTAAAGAACTTATATTCTTCCCATATTTTGGGGAGTTGATTTTGATGCTATCAAAGGGAGAAAATGTTATAATAATAATCCTTGCATTTGATATAGCGCTTTCACATCTTCTAGACGTCTCAAAGTGCTTCACAGAATTACCCGTAAAGTGAATTGACTGTATATTTTGTGGGTGAAACGCAGCAGCCAGTTGCGCACAGCAGTGTCCCACAGTTGTGGATTAAGTGACCAAATTATTTTTTTTTCTTGAGGGATTATTATCAGGCGTGTGGAGTAAGGAAACATGCCCAAGGTTTTGCCTTGCCAGGAATCAATCCCAGGTCTATGGATTTGAAAGGGAATTAGATGAATTTTCAAGAAACCCAAAAATAAACTTTTTATTTGATACAATACCTACAACATCAAACTCAGTGTGACTATCAACTATCACAGTCGAGTTGCTATGAAATGCCATGACCATCTGTAGAAACTCACAGCAGCCATCTGTGACCAGGGCTCCCTCTGTCTCCTCGTCCTCCTCGACCTATCGGCAGCATTCGATACGGTCGACCACGCTATCCTACTCCACCGCTTGTCCTCCCACCTCAACCTTCAAGGCACTGTCCTTGAATGGTTTAGCTCTTACCTTTCCCACCGTCTTCACTTCGTCTCAACGAATGGCTTCTCCTCCACCCCCCGTACTGTCTCATGTGGTGTCCCTCAGGGCTCTGTCCTCGGTCCCCTCCTCTTCACCCTCTATATGCTCCCCCTCGGTGACATCATCCGCAAACATGGGGTTAACTTCCACATGTATGCGGATGACACCCAACTCTACCTTTCCTCCTCTACTCTCAACTCCACGACCACCGATGTCCTGACAGCCTGCCTGTCCGACATCGAGTCCTGGACGAGAGACAACTTTCTTCAGCTCAACGTGCGAAAAACCGAGGCCCTCCTGATTGGCTCACGTCAGCGCCTCCGCACCTCAGGCGCTGACACCATCAGCATCCAAGGCTGCACTCTCCACCTCTCAAAGCCAGTCAGGAACCTCGGCGTTTTGTTCGACCCTGAGCTGTCCTTTCTCCCTCACATCCGCACCACAACTGGCACCGCCTTCCATCACCTCCGGAATATCGCCAGACTACGGCACTACCTCACCCCTCACGCTGCTGAAACCCTGGTTCACGCCTTTGTCACCTCAAGGCTGGACTATGGGAACTCTCTCCTCGCCGGCCTTCCCGCCACCTCCCTCCACAAGCTGCAGGTCATTCAGAACTCTGCAGCTCGTGTACTGTCCCGCACCAGGCTTCGGGACCACATCACTCCCACCCTCGCTCGCCTCCACTGGCTCCCCATCCCCCAGAGGATTGATTTCAAGATCCTCATCCTCACCTACAAGGCCATTCACGGCCTTGCTCCCTCCTACCTCTCCAACCACCTACCTGCCCGTACCCTCCGTTCCTCTGGCTCCGGTCTGCTCCACGTCCCCCGCCCCAACCGCCCTACTATCGGTGGTCGGGCCTTCAGCCTCTCAGCCCCGAGGCTCTGGAACTCCATCCCCCAGTGCCTTCGCCTTGCTTCCTCCCTTTCCTCCTTCAAGGCCGGTCTCAAAACCTTTCTCTTTGACCGTGCCTTCAGCTCCCCTCTCGACTCTCTTCCTCCTCCTCGCTCCCTCCCTTCCCTCCCCTCACCCTGACCATTTCCCCCCTCCTCTCTCCCTCCCTTCCCTCCCCTCACCCTGACCATTTCCCCCCTGCTCGGGTCATGACCCAACTGTGCAGCGCCTTGGGACGTCCTCCTGACGTGAAAGGCGCTCTATAAATGGAATCTTGTTGTTGTTGTTGTTGTTGTGTGCAGGAAGGTTCCACAATCAGTCATGATGTGAAGGAGCAATTTATCTGGAGGATTGTTGACCAGGATATTGGTAGAAGGGAAATAGGAATATGTGGTACAGAACAACTTTGGTAGAGAATTGAGAGCAAAGTACCCGGGAACTTTCCAGACAGGGAAGTTCTAAAGAAGGTGAGGATTTCATTTTTTTTTAAAAAGATGCCTGTTTGCTGAACAAAAGGAAAATCTATTTGTACCAGTTCAATAAAAAAAATGAAAATATGAAATTGTTTGGTGTATTAGTTAAGTAAACATTGCATCTGAGGCAATGTGGATTCTCAGATGCAATTTTTTTTAAAATCATGAACTTCGTGGTGTAGCTCTTCAGTTTGTGCTGGAAAATCCAATGCAAATAAAAGATATACTTTCAAAATCATGATGAAACAGATTTATTGTTTTCTAGTGAAGACTCGCTATACTCAGCATAAAAGTTTTGCAGAATTCCACAGCACAACAGCAAAAGTCTTCTTGTGTAAAAGTGTGTATATAACAGCAGAAAAGAAATGAGCACTATCACAAACAATTATTATAAAACAAGCCAATTTACCACTTATGAAACTAAAATTCATTGCATTGCAAGCATCCAGCAAGTAACAAAATGGTAAAGCTGGAAGTAATGAACAAGAATCTAGCCATCATCCTATGCATGTCCATTTTTGGTAACCACTAATCAGTTACTCAGAAGCTTTATGGAAACCATTTCAACAAAAAGACACAATAGAAGAAAAGGTGCTGAAAGGAGCTAGAGCTGCTGACAGCATACATATGCTGCAAACTTTGCTTACCAAAAAGTTTTTTCTTTAAAAAAAGTAGTTGGGTTATGCATCATTTCAGTACTGATGCTGGGCTACTGATAACAGAGGACAGTAGCTTCATGGACTGAACAAAGTACACTTTAATGCAACAATTAAAATACTGAATCCACCAAATGCACACCAGAGGACATACACATTGCCCGCTTACCTACTTTCTTCTAATGTTAGATTTAAAGTTTCCCTCCCTCCCCTTTGAAATCAGGACAAATGTAACAATTTTAAATCTCAGAATATACATGTACACACGTGTGCGCACGCACACACTTCAGAGATCCACTGAAAATGGAGTTTTAACTGACAGCATTCCTGCTTCATTTAAGGAATCGATGCCAGCACTCAAGTTAAAACAGCGCTGCACACAGGGTTCATTTTATCAGCTTCTATATTTTGCACGAGATGTCAAGCAACCCTACGATAAGTGACCTAATCTGTGGAAGGGCTGTAAGCCATCTTTTGTGCAATATACCTTTAACTCTTGCAGACCAAATGGGGAGCTATTATGTGCTAACTGGAAAAATGACTTTACGTTTATATTTTGACCACAAGATATTTTATAAGCACACACGATTAGTAACATTCAAATGAAATCTCCATATGCAGTATCTCTGCTTGGTCATCTTTCAAATCAGTATTCTAAATCACAACCTATATAGTTTTCAGGATTAGGTACAAATGGAATACTACAATGTAAACTGAACACTTTCACAACAGCAGTATGATGCTAGATAGACCGATAATCTGTCTCCAATAATTGGTCACAAAAGGTCAAGTATCTTCCAGGTGCCTATCCATCCCAGTCCAGAATGTACCCATTTTGTGTGTCCTTCAAATGATTACAAACTCCAAATCACAATTCTCAAGGAGCAGCATAACAACACTGTTATGACACAGAAGAGATGGGATTATGTGGGGAACCCATTTGGGTGAGGACTTTATCTAGCCATTGCAGAGGACCGTGTAGATGGATCTCTATCCAGCAAGGGGTGCTTGTCACATCCTGTCGATGGTACTCAGCTCCCCAACCCTACAAAATAAAAGAAAGGACATTATAAAAAGCTAAAGAAAGACATTTTAAAAAGCTGAAGGAAACAATTAGGGGAACAGTCTCAATTATTCTTGTGACCAATATAGGAGACTATCCATGGTAAGAAATGGAAAATGGTTTCATTTCCAGTCACGTCAGCAACATGCAATAGGCTGAAAGCACAATAAACCTCCCGCTACGCTCCACAACAATCCTCTGATGGAATGTCACAAAAGCACCCTGTTCAGTGCCAAGAATGAATTGTGTCTGCTTATACCAACTACTGAATATTAAAAATCCACAGACCAGTGCATGGTAACTGAATAAATTCACTGGACCGACAGCGGAGTCCCACTCTGCATAGCTTTTACACATCAACGCTCAAAATAAGTATTTTTCAGCATCAAAAAGCACAAGCTGAATATGCAGAATTGATTACCGCCCAAACACAAGTCTGTTTCAACTCAAATTCAAAGGGTTAGCAAATTAACTACAACGAACATAACCATCTACAGCTTAAAACAATTTGAAAATATTCTACTTAAAAGCCTAACAACATAAGCGAACAACCTAAAATAGTGTCTTTTATAAATCTGTACCAAACCGTTGCAATTACTTTATTCTACTTCCATCATTACCTTTACAAAGCTCATGCGAATGGTGCACATCTTGGTAAGTTCATAGACAGCCTCAAAGCCATGGTTTACAGATTGGGCCAAAAGCTGGGCAAACTCCTGATTGTTGAAGATCTTCAAACTGCATCCGCTGGGAATCTTACAGACTGTAGTCGGATGGAAGTCATGATGATAGTTGCAGTTTCGACTTTGCACAAAAATGCTACTGTCACTCAGGCATTCAGCATACACTTCACCTCCAACGTAATAAAGGTGAACACCTACAAAATGAAGAACAGCGGTTTATTTGGCATATGTTTTGCATTTCAAGTTTCCTCAAAGCATCATCATCCTACAGTAAATCTAATCTTGTTGGATTGATAAAGTATATTGAAAAACATTCAATGGGGCAACATGACAGCACAATGCCACTCCTTAAGCTGCTTTGTCAAGAGTAGCAGAATACGGTTCACTCTTTGTTGGCTATTCTCCATGCTGGTGCTCTGCACTTTTGTGCAAGTATTAGTGGACAGATGTAAGACTGCTATGGTACAGGTCAGGAATCAGATTGCCTGCTTGATTCTTCTAAGCCAGATAAGAAAATAATTTAAATGGGAGAGGGGAAGAGAAAGAATATCTACACTAAAGATCAACACTGGTCTTTAAATTTTGATTGTAGCAGGGTGTATCCTCGCTTCTAAATGTTCTCCAAAACTATAAAAGACAAAACATGAGCAAAAATGCAGCAAAAGCATTAATCTAAATTGTTTTGCATCATTATACACAACAAAAGTTTAACAACAATTTACATTTGTGTGACGCCCTTCATATGGGGTAGCGTCTGAGCCCTTAAAGGCAGTGCTTGACACCGACAAGGGGGGACATGCAGAAGACTAGAACCATTTGAGTGAATGGGGAGAGCAGAGGAGTAGGGTGTGAGCAGGTTGGACAGGTAGCTTGGGCATGAAATGATTTGTAGTTGAGCATGAGAATCTTGAAATCAATTAGTTCTGCAACAGGGAGCTGCAGTTGGAGCCAGTAGAGGCCAGCAAGGACTGAAGCATTGGCGGTGCAGAGTTTGGTATGGGTGAGGATACAGACGCCAGAGTTTAGAATCAGTTGGATATTGTGAGTGGTGGAAGCTTACAATTTTAGCTTTATATTACATGTGCTTTCCAAACATTTACTAATCAGAGAATTCTTAGGATTATTTACTAATCAGAGAACTCTGCTACAAATGAGGATGTGCTATACTGAAGGACACTATCAGGGCTTTCATTGTCATGTTTCAGAACTGAGCAATAAATAAGGGACAGCTGGAATGTTTATGAATGTGATCAGTGTTGTCGAGGTCAGGAGTTTTATTAACAATGGCATGAAAGCGAACAGGTGTATTAAAATTCACATGTTACACACATAATACTTGTGAAGTAAATATCTCAATGTAGATGATTAAATATGGGATTACCTTTTCCAATATGTCTCCTGGTGTTCTCTATGGTAGAGTTACGATTCACATTGGACAGAAGCCCAAGGCAGAATCTATTCTTGTTGTTTGAAGGATCAGTAAAGCCATCCACTAATACGCTAGTCGAAGAGGCTTGAAAAGCTTCTCCCACACGGTTATTCAGCTCATAATAGACAATAGAGCACCAGTGTTTTGGCTCCTCGTAAGCAACTGGCTGAACATCTGCAAAGGAAAATTATTACATTCACATTTCCCCTAAATGAACAGCTACAGGTTATATACAGCAAAACGTTTCAGTGAAATATATTCGTGTCTTATACATTCACACAATTACATTGAATAGATTCACAACACTTCTTTTTAAAAAAATCTTATTTTTCTATTGGTCTCCAGTGTGCCATTCCATCATTGGTTAGAGCACAGTGGTTGGGTAGCTCAGTGGTTACAGCTCTCGCCTCGCAAGTGAGAGAGGAGACCTGGGTTGTATTCCCGCCAGGGCGAAATGTTGGGCAAGTTTTCTTACTCCACACGCCTCTGTTTATCTAGCAGCAAGTAAGAACCCGGTTGTTAGTCGATTGGTGCATCGCTTTTCCGGGGATAATAATCCCTAAAAAAAAAATAATAAATTAGTCACTCAATCCATGACTGTTTGTGGGACATTGCTGTGTGCAACTGGCTACTGTGTTTCACCCACAAATATACAGTCAATTCACTTTACAGTATATACTGTGAAGCGCTTTGATATCACTAGAAGAGGTGAAAAGCGCTATATCAGATGCAAGTATTATTATTATTAGGTGACAAATTGCTCTTAAACCTCTGATGGCAGTACTATTACCAGCCACTAGGAGGCACAAGAGTTAACCAGCACTTCAATTTTCCCTCCTTGAAGGGATTGACCACTGCGCTACATCTTTCTGTAAAAACATGATTCTTTGGAAACTAAATCAACTCCAGGCACAAAATCCTTGTGTGCATTACACAAGTTCTCATTTTGTATTTTTTTGCAGGATAATGAAATGATAAATAATGAAATAATAAAAAAGTGAAAATAAATCCTTGTGCACATAATTTTGTTAAAAATTTGGTTGTGCACAATGCAGCACTCAATTTAGAACATTATTCAGGGTCACTACATAATTTCAAATCTCAGCAGAAGCTAATTTAGAATATTTTCTTGGGGAAAGGAAACACTACAAATCAAAGTTGGAAAACAGTTCAGACTAAGATCTAACAAGCATGTACAGTTCACAATTTTGACCCCAACGTGGGCAAATTATGGAATCAATGCCAGCTGGCCATTTTCATAGAATGATTCATGGTCATCACTCATATCTCTGAACAGACTTCCCAAAAGTAGTCATAAATCATGAAGAGCAGGTGGGCTTTGTCTTGCAGTTCCCAGAATACGCCAATACTGGAAATTACGTAACAGCAGTGACAGGATGCAGCTTGTTAAAGGCAGTCTTTAAAGACACTACTGCTGTCCAAAAGGAATAGAACTTCAAACTATTTAAAACCTTGTGCTTTCTACTCAGAATGGTATTCCATTTTTATGCGCCATTTGTTTCTTTAAAGAAAACTGAAATAATTTTATAGTTGCTCCTTTTGCTCAATAGATTTTTGATCTTTATTACTACTGCTCAGAACTCTGATGTCAGCACTCCACCTCTAATGAGAACTACACAAGGTCATGTTTTACATGTATTTTATTAAAAGAAATAAAAATGAAGTCACTAATATCTGGAGGTTTTCAAAATTGCATCAATAATTTTAGAAATCTGTGAACCAAAACTCTTCATTATGTTAACTTTAAAACTTTTGTTAGGCTGGCTTAGCAGTAGCAGAAAGTTGGGGGTTCAAACCCCACATCGGGAGTTGAAAGTACATGGTCTAAATTGACACTCCAGTGCTGTGCTAAGAGTGTGTTGTGTTATTGGACGTGCCTTAATTCGTACAAAATGTTAAAGCAAGGTCCCACCTGCCTGTTCAGGTGGACGTTAAAGACCTAATGGTGCTATTCGAAAAGAGAAGGGAGTTTCTCCCAGTGTCTTGGTCAACAATTCCCTCAAATAAAATTGGTTGTTCACTTCATGACTATTTGTGGGACATTACTGGGCACAACTGTGTTTCACCCACAGAATACACAGTCACTCCACTTTACAGTATATCCTGTGAAACTCTTTAAGATTCTTGATAACCTGATAACACGCTACATCAAATGCAAGGATTATTATTAAAATCTAAAAGTTTTGGTACATTCCTAAATTCAGTCTCAACTTGCAAAAAAAGCTTTCAAATTACCCCTGAATTTAAGAATTTTTCAAAATTCTGCATGAAGTTACATTTTAAGCCAAAACCATGAGAAATTTCAAGCCGCAGTTATCTAGCGCAATTTTGCACAAGCTTTGAATTCTCCTGTTACTTCACCAATTCACGTGCAATACAAAGAAATTTACATTTTGTATCCCTGACAGTACAGATTTGGCAGCACAAGCAGAAATGACTTAAGTTTGCAAGTCATGTCTGTATGAGTACGCTTTTGAGATTGTGCAACTGCAATATAAAGTACTTAGTTCATTCTTAAACAAGTTGAACTAGTAAAACATGTGAATTCTTGTCTTGAATACATGGTTTATAGACACCTGGGAGCTACAGTTTATAAAAAAAATTGTAATCAGACATCCAGCTTGGGGAAGGGCACTACATGAAGAAACAATTTCTGAGGCCGTCATATTTGTGATCAGGAGCTGAGCTTTAGATCTTCAAGGCAATAAAATTTTCCCCAAAAATGGCATGGTTGGCTATTTGTTGGACATTCTCTTTAAGGAATACAAAATGACAACTTTTCCATTCAGCAGTAAACACAGGGCTATATTTTCAGATGTTTTCACAAGAGGCATGAGCATGACATACTCTGGAATCTGGCACTATCTTTAGGAAACAGCTGCAACCCCTCCCCACTGTGCACATTTACTCAGTTACTACATCACCTACTCTTCCCTAGAATTCAAATTCAAAGTTCACAAAATTTAGCATTGTTAATATTTCAAATTTTCAAACAAGTATTTTATTCGTGGATGTAAAAGTAAGAATAGAATCATGGATTTTTTTGAGAATAGAAGACGTTTGGCCCATTGCGTCTGGGCAAGGCTCTTTGAAAGATCTTTTAAAGCCTTTCTCCACAATCCTTTCATACTTTTCCTTTTCAAACATTTTTTCAATCCCTTTTAAAAGCTCAGTAATATGGATTCTCTTTCAAAACATTATTTTTGGTAGGTAAAGTATTAAGGAATTAATGGTAATGAATAAAGAGAAATTCATTCTTGGATTGCTGAGTAAAGTGGATCTATAGATGCAGATAGAATATATAGAACCATTACTTTCCTATGAAAATCATATTGCTTGTTTACTATCCCAGATTCAACTCTTTGAGCACATCAGAATACCAAAGGAAAATTTCTTCCCTGCTAAATTAGCCACCTTTAATCAAGATCAAGCATTATGTGAAGCTAGAGTAGAAAAGTAAATGTTTAACATTGTGCACCAACAGTTGTACAAGGGTAGATGTATTTTTCTAAACGCCAGTTATAATTTTTTTTCCATGAAGTTCAATGGAATTGGGTGGGGGTGTTAAAAGGTAAACTCGCAGTTCAGGAAACAATGGGAGCATTAATTTAATCTTGGCTGATGACAAGGTTTTCCTGGTATAGACACAAGGGCATTACGCAGACTGCCAGTGACTTAACCCCTACAATACCATGGATGTGTTAGCTTCCCTAGCACTTCACAAATTCAACAATCTCCCGTGAAGTAAGAGCCCCATCAGTGTTGGAACAAATAATTCCTTGATTAATTGCAAACCGAAGGGGAACACCAAAGTTGAACAGGAACAAAGGAAAACAATTCAAAGTGGTCAATGGGACACCAAGCTTGGGGTAAAGTGAACAAAACCCTCTTTTATTTTTATAAAGGGTTACTAGTCATCTCGAAAAGTATATTGGGAGCAAACAGAAATAAGTATGTTTCAGTAATTTTCGTAGTTGATAATAATGATCCTTGTATTTGATATAGTGCCTTATCACGTCTTCGAGACATCTCAAAGCGTTTCACAGAATAGACTGTAAAGTGAATTGCCTGTATATTTTGTGGGTGAAACGTGAAAGTCAATTGCGCACAAACAGTCATGGACTGAAGTGACCAATTTATTATTATTATATAATATTTAGTTAATAAGATATAGAAAGGATAGAGGAGGTTGGGAATATAAATAAAATTAAAAGTAGCAAAATAAGGTCAGAGAAAGTGAGAAAGAACAAAAAACAATGTTAACCCATTTAAAATGGCATTCTTTGTGCTTATTTTAACAGCATACAATTACAGTAATAAAGATAGTCCCTGACACCTGAGCAGCTTTATTAGTGTTTGTTTCAAGGTCAGTGCATGATCTGAAAACTTTATGGCCAGCCTAAGGGCTATATAATCTCAAAACTACTTGCAGATTCTGCACATTTTACCTGGAGTCAAGTGTGAAGTGGTTACATTATGGGTTTTTAGTGTTTGAGATTTGCAGCACAATCAGGAAATAGGCAAAGGCTGAGACCTATAATCCCCTCAAAGAGGAGCCTGGACATAACAGATGTCAAGAAGCCATGTGCCAAGGTAACACCAAACTTCAAGCATCTCCTCGTAATCAAGACTAACTGGATGTAAAATTGATAGGTAGAATGTTTTATTGCCAAATTCCCACAAACTGAACCTCATTCAAGTGCCGCTAGATCTGAAATGAAAGGGTGCGTCAACTCCATATAAGTATTGGACAATAATTGGCAATTATTCATAAGAATTTCTCTGAATTTTTATAATTTTCCAAGGATTATTACAATTTAACTTTTAAAGCCATTTGCACTTGGGCCTCCCATTGTATTAACAAGCCACCACTGCAAGAAATGTTATATTTGATTTAATGTTTGTCAGACAATACACTGATATATTTAAAAACATATTGAATATTTCGTCCTGCACCAAAAATCAAACAAAATCAACATCAATTAGTTGTAGAAAACAAGACGGTGATTAACTCTCAGAGGAGTAGTTTTAAATGCTCTAGCAGATCACTGAAGAATCTTACTATGTTTGGCACCAAAACACTTATTTTCTTTCCTGTTATATTAAAAGTTTCATTTGTTACCTGGTCTGTTGGTTATATTTGGTGGTACAGAAGGCACGAGAACATTCGATGTGTCCATAGGCTGTGAACCGTCTTGTGTCATCTGATCATCTGGTGGCATATAAGCAGGAGGGGGGGTATCAGCTATAGGTGGAAAACAAAAATTATAACCGTACATAGCAAACACTGAACTACTTCAAATGTCATTAAATGCCACCACAATACTAAACTAGCTTGAATACATTAGAAAATGAATATTCAAATGCAGCCTGAGTTCCAATTTTTCCAACTAAAATACTTGAGCAATGTAGAAACAGCAAAACCAGAATTTAATAATTTATAGCTAGATCTTTGATTTTGTTTAAACGCATTGTTACCTAATTTGAAAACTTACTTTACTTTCAAATGTAAATTTAACACAAAATAATCTTTAAAATAATTGGAATCTTGATTTAATTTGGGCATCTATACACATTCAAAGACTTACAAAGAATATACAGCACTGAAACAGACCACTTGGCCCAAGTAGTCCATGCTGGCGTTTAGACTCCACACGAATCCCCACCCATTTCTTTCCTCTCTCCCAAACCGTTCTATACCCCTCTCTGTCATGTGAAGATCTAACATCATGCTGAATGCATCAAACTTTATCTTCATTGACAAATTTATGTTACTTCCTTGTATTCAGAGCACTGTTGTGCTTCATTTAACTTTGCAATCTCTCCTTCAGTAATGTTATCTATGTTAGACAATCAGATTTGAATTTTTGATTCAGGTCTTGTGGCCCATACAAAACAATACAAAGCCAATTTACACTTATAAAGCACTTTTCATGTTGGGAGGACACCCCAAAGCGCCAGCAAAGACTAAATAGTGTTTAATCCATACTAAAATACTGCTCTGATATATTTCTATACTCATCTACTCCGGAAATAACATAGAATCAAGGTTACATAAGCTATTGCCAGCAATTTCATGTTGTTCTTCAAAGCATTAATAATGGGCCTCTCTCTTTCCTGAAATTATATCTGTGAAGAAAACTATTTTGAACAGAGCTCTGGTCATACCAATCTGTTCCCTTCTCAAGGGACTGAGCATGTAATCAATTGTACCTGGCAAACCTTGTATATCAATCACACAGTCTTATTTATTGGGAACAGGCCAGTTTGTCCCAGAATGTGATTACTGCCACAGAGAGATGTATTGTATTGAGAATTCCAGGCATCCTTTCACCTGTTCTAAAGACAGTCATAACTCACTTCTGTGTCTACAGCACTAAAATTATTTGCCTTTCACTGGTAAAATCTCTCTAAAATTATATTCTTTAAACTGATGCTAGATCTTACAGATATTGTGGAAAATACACACTCAATAACCATACGAACATTTATACTGCAATTAAGGAAGTTCATAACTTTCACAAAAATGAGTTATCTCTATTATATATAATGTATGTATATATAATACACACATACAGAAACATATAAACTTATGAAGGTAAATAATGCAGGTGTACATAGTTGTACTGCTCTTACCTGGGATTTGAAAAGGGCTGCTTGGTCCAGAACTTGCTGGAGAATGAGGATATGTGCTACTTCCAGGGGAACTGGGATAACTTCTATTAGGAGAATTGGGGAATGGGTGGGTATTTGCTTGCTGAAAGGATTCTGGAAAGGCAGCATTATGTGGCATAGGAGGATCGTTTCCTAAATTGCGAAACTGTGCAAGGAGGCTATGCTGTGGGTTATACTCACTGTGCCTCGGAACCAAGACTGGGGGAAGAACTGGAAAAAATAGAAAGGAAAGATGTTCAACAAATTCTGGCATTACTGTTTATGAAGCTAAATAATTAGAAACTCACATTAAGAATACAAGTGGATGGATGGCTATTTCCCATAGATAACCCTTTTGAAATGAACAGCAATAGTCTGAAAAACCAAGCACTCCCATTTATTAGCCAAAGAATGGCCATAGTGATGACCTGCTATGACACAGTCCGAAAGTCTGAATTCCAGAAACTTGAAGTCTGTTTACCCGGTGTTGAGTGTATTTCTGTGTATTTTAAAATAACAATACTATACTTTGGAACAAGATAACCTCTGACCCAGAAGCCCTAAAATGGGACTTTGGACTCCCAGACTAGAGTGACCCTTCCATGCAGTATTTGGGGGAAGCATTGCTTCATTAGGTGGTGTCTTTCAACAGCAACTTACATTTATATAGTGCCCTTCACATCTTGCCTTTCGGGTAAAATGATAAACTGAGGTTCTGTCTGCCTGTTCCAAGGAGACTTTAAAGACCCTATAGTACAATTCAAAAAACCAAGGAGCTTCTTCAGATAGCCAATTATCCTCCACTTCACAGCTGTTTCTTGCACCTTACCATGTGTAACTGGCTGCCGCATTTGCCTGCAAATAGTCACTACAGTACTTGGGATCAAACACAAACCAAACATAAGATTTAAAAATAAGTGAACTGTTATTGCTTGAGTTCAGTGCCAAATTTGTGAACATAACCAGGATACAAGCATTTTAATCTTTCGATTCTGAATATCCAAATAATTTTAGCCTGAGTGACCATCATATTAAAAATCTGTCCTTTGCTTAGTGGGACACGATCCCTAAACGCCCTGTGACTGCATTACTCCCCCTACTTATCTCACAATTTGTAACAGAGCCTTCATATTAGCCAATCAGAAGCCACCTGATGGTCATCTCACTACTATAATCAGTCTGTCATATCTCTACCACAGACAGTCAGAAAAATCAATATGGAGTCTGTATGCAAGAAACAGCAGATAAAGTAATAAAATATCAATACGAAATTAGTATGGGAGAGGATGAGTAATGCTGATTAATGACACTGCTCTTCAGTCATACTCGAGTCCAATAGATATCAGATCCCGAATTAACCTTCCTCCTTTCAATTGCTTTACTATAATATACTCGGATGCAAGATTTCAAATTGATGGTAGGCAGCTTGTGCAAAATACCATACCAGGTAATTAAGTTTAAATTTGGACCCTCAGAGATAAATGCATAGACATACATCTCATTTACATCAACTGATTAATTATACTTCAAATTAAGAGTTTAATTATTCTTGAGTGACTGTGGGTTAGGATCCAAGCCAGACTGATTCAATTCTGTTTGTTCGCCATTATGCAACCAAAGTAAGTTTTTGGCACTGCAACTTCAAATCTGGGCAAAAACCTGGTTGCAAAAAATAGTGCAATGCCCTCCCTCCACATCACCAGATCAAAGTGAACAGCTGGTTTGGAGCTATTACAAACTGGCTTTCTTTCCCATATCTACTACATTAATGACCTCTTTAGAGATACCTAAAAGTAAACTTACAAGTGTTGGATGTTTCCAAAGTTAGGCAACATCACAAATCACTCGATAATCTTAAAACATTTTAAATCAGCTGTTTGCATTGAATTTACCACCCACTACCCAAATCCACAGTGATCAACAGGAACACAATTCATGAAATTCTAAAAAAGCCAGGGCTATAATGACAGCTGTAGTCAAAAACCGGGTGCCTGACAGTCAATCACCACAGTATGTAGGAGTTAAATTTCCAATGACAAGCCACTGACTAGAGGTTGGATACTGGGTTTACAGAGATAACTATTTAGAAAATTCTAGGTCTCTTGTAGGGGAAAACTAAAAATGGCAATGGTATTATGCCATTGGCTATTGCATAGAGATCTAAGGTTTCACAAACACTCATTTAAACCACAAGATTTACTTGCAATACTTCAAATTATTTAGGTGTCATCCTGGCTCAATACAATCCAATTTGCATAGCTCAGTTAGCAGCACTTTAGAGTCAGAAGGTCATGGGTTCATGTCCCACACTGTGAACTCACAGTCTCGGCTGACACTCCAATTCTGGGCTGCGGAATGATGCAAATGCAGACCTTCAGATGAAGCGTTAACCCACCTACCCTATAAGTCCCACCTGCTTGTTCAGATGTAAATTAAAGTTCCCATGGTACTACTCAAAAAGAGAACTGATTTCCTTCCAGTGTCCTCGCCAACAATTCCCAGATAAGTCATCATTCACTACGTGGCTGTTTGTGGGACGTTGCTATGCGCAAATTGGATGCCACATTTATAATAAATCCTGTGAAGAACTTTGAAATACCCTCCCAACGTGAAAGGTGTTATAGCAAATGCAACAATTATTTATTACAATCCATGATTTTCCAATATAATAATCAAGAGCATCACCCTACAGTAGTTATGTCTTGCACACATTAATGAAAACATGAATCCTGATGTTCAGGGAGTTTGTAGAACATGACCCAAAAGGGGAATTTTAGATCATGTCATTTATAGATCCATTAATGAAGTACAGTACGTATAAAACACAGCAATGATACTTAACAGACTTTCAGTAATTATCCCTTAAATTAACATGGCACAGATGCCATAAACTAAAAAACTTTGTTTGCATTTCCTGTAATTGTGTGTAGCATTCCAGATGAATCACTTCCTGTGCCCATCTTCCTCAAAATGCCACATGTCGGCAGAGCCTACCAGAGAGTATGCACAAGACAAAGGTCTCATTCTCAATCTGGAATTTCCTGCCTGTTCCACACAGCCAGCTGTTCCTGTCAGGTCAGATGACCTTCTGTTCTGCTAAAGCAATATTACTTTCTAAGAAAAAATAGGCACTGTATAGTTGCACAAAGAACATGAGATGGTTTGGAACTTCATGACAGACACTGGTAACACCACAGAGAGAACATGGTTTGTCTTCTGCATTCAACCGTACAGGTCCTAAAACTCCTGACAGTAATTTGGGTAGAAACAACCTGCAAAACAGAGACACTCCTTAAACTGTTCGTAGAAACTATCAACTCAATAAAAAAGAGCTAAGATCCTTCATTAAAAAGGAAAATGTGGTTACGTTCTATTCAGTGAGGTCCCACACATACCATAACAAAATCCCTGGAGAAATGTCACCTGTCGTTTTCAATTAATTAATAATGATCTACACTTGCGTAATGTGGAGTCAATGCTATCAACACAGATGAAGCCCCGACACGTTTCCAGCTAATGGAATCTTGTAATACTTTTAAAAAGACAGAACATAATAAAATAAAGGTAAGAAATCGCACTTAGTCATTTATTTAAAAGCACATTTGGCAGCTACTGCCAAAGTTTCAACCAAATGTGTTTTTAAATAAACAGCTAAGTGTTCGCTTATGTTCTGCACAATTTTGTGCTGCTAAATTATGACAATTTTCCACTCTACCATTTTTTCACTCCATGATCCTTTTCTACTCTTTATCCATCTGCTAATTGTTCACATAATCCCGTTAGGTTAACACCTTTTTCAGTATCCATTTTAGAGGCTGAGCATTAATATTCTATCATTTGCTCTTCAAGAAAACCTCAATTTATCCGGTCATTGGTTTATATGGAATCAAGTGCAACCCTGTTTTAGTGCACAAAACTGATACATAATTGATGTTCCACAATTTAACAGGAGTGCACCATAATGACACTTATCTGTAAATAACTGATATAAATTAGGCCTTGCTAAATGCACTCAGAACATTTTTACTGGGCAGACTTATTGAATGCATTCACCATTAGGAGATTTAAGCTCAGTATTTCTTGGTCCTCTAAAGACCTACTCGTATGTCGTTCATTTGGGCTGCAATAAGCACTTGCACATGCTGCCATGGATTGACAAGACTCTGCCCCTTCAGTCACGGAATACTATCGGATCTTTTGTGGATGATAACCGAGAGACTCATTTGAGTTTTAAACTAACTAGTAACTAGGAATTAATAGGATGTCACATCATATGAAATAGTTTACTTCCTTTACCACAGTCATACTCCACTTATTTAAATCTCTTCATTTTGAAATAATTAAGGTTAAATTCTATTCAAGACATTCCTCTCCATGAACTCAGAAATTTGCAATACAAAATAATCCTTGCATTTGAAAAAGCACCTTTCACGAGGAGAGGGCATCTCAAAGAGGTTCAAATTGGCAGCCAATTTGCACACAGCAAAGTGCCATAAACAGCCATGACATGAATCAACAATTTTATTCGGAGAATTGTTGGCCAGAATACGAAGAGAAATACCCTTCTCTATTTTTGAATAGCACCATGGGATCGTTAACATCCACCTGAACAGATAGGACCTCAGTTTAACATCTCGTCCGAAGGCATCTCTGACAATGGAGTACAGCCCCAGTACAGCATTGGCTGGGGTGGCCTGGAGTGGGGAGCAGAAACAAACAGACCAAGCCTTATTTTGAAAGCAGGAGTCCTAGAGTAACAACAATGCGATCTGAAAGTGTGACTGGCAGATGGTTGGTATTAGATTTACAATGTTTACATAATGTAATTGGAACAGTCCTATAGCAGAGATTGAAAAATGCTATACAGCTAACTGCACCACTTGTACCTTGACCTAGTTTATAGCCCAGGTACCACAAAGTATTATGACTGTGGGCTTTCTTGTCTGACAAAGAAGTAAGAGAGAGGGGGCATCTGGGAACATTACTGCATCAATGGTGACCAGTCATTAAGACCGTTTCCAAATTCTATTAACTAACAGGCAGTATAGGTAAAACTGAGGATCCTCAGAACCTTGATCCAATATCCATGTACCACCAACTGATCAACTGAGCTTCACTGTCACAAATTTCATGAAACAGCCTCCGATCAGACTTGGTGGTGATGGTGGGGAAATCTTATTTACCTTAGCCAAAAAAGGTTTGCTGCGTCTCCTTTTTCTCTTATTCCAGGATCTTTTGGAGAATAGAATCATAGAATGTTACAACACAAGGCATTCGGCCTATTAAGTCTATCCTGCCGGAGGGGAGGGGCATTCCCTACATAAACCATCTTGTACAATCCCCACGCTCTTACTCACTATTCATACATATATTTTTCTTAGCAGAGAATTTTAAGCAGATATTACATGTCTGCCTATTGTGCCCAAGTCTATAGTCACATGCCTATTGTGATAGATCTGGAATATTAAAGAGAAATATTTAATGTCTGGAAAAGTAAATGTAGTTCAGATAAGTTTTCAGTTTCCAAGCTCCATTCAAAAACATTTATTTCAGATACCTGCCTTCGTGTCACTCCCTGCACAATATCCTTCCATTTACATAGTACACCCTCGTCCATTTAGTTCATTTTATTAATTCTCTTGCCCAAAGGCAACAACGTACCCATTTGATTACAATGAAGGCTCACGGTCACAACAGAATTATAATCGGGAGTTTACCATCTTCAATTTGAGAATTCATGAGCTGAAACATTCTCAAATTGAAGATGTAAACAACCTTACTACCTAATTTGTCTAGTCTTCTTCAGAGTTTAACTAAGTCAGTTGTTACATATCAACGTAGTTTCTGTTTCAGTGGAGGAAACTGTTTGACTTGCAGATAGCTTGTCCAATTTAAGTTAATTATTTGTAAAGCATGCAGTATTTTTTGACATGGAGATTAGTAGTCAAATAGTATGACTCAAGTAGAAACATTGACTCAATTTCACTTAAAACCCTAAAAAACAAAAGCTACTTTTATTGTGGATCAAGAATGTAGTGATGTTCACTGTAACCATTCATTCTCAATTTTGTAATCCATTGCAAGACAATGTTGAGGAGAAAAAAATGCACTTTATGCAAAAAAGAAAAATTATTATTTGCAAACAATCAGCTACTTCTGTAGATTTGGATGACTTGGGGCGACCATGTAATGCTTCACTGAAACAAATGCCAGAACCACAATTTTAATGGTATTCTTCAACTGCGGTTGTCAGCACGATTACTTAATATTTTGATTCTACTCCCAGTAACCAAAGCATAATTTTAAACATTTCCAATCTAGCAGTACATCTTTCTGCCAGGGATACAAAATTATAATATGGAAAGTTTCCAGTAGGCTGAAAACGGTTTTCCTGCCAAAATCTGCTACTCAACTTCACGGGCTACCCCAGGAAGAGTGACAGAAGCAGTGTGCCTATCTCATTTCACTCCAGCTAATTTCGGGTGGGTGGGGGGTGGACAAACAAGGAAGAGGTTACAGACACAAACCTACTTGACTACTCTAAAGCAATGAAGTTACAATGCACACTTGATATGCTGATCCTTCCAAACCTATGAATGACCTTCACCAAGTCTCTAGAATAAAAATGTACATTGTCAAGAAAAAAGGGTGAATATACCACAAAATCCTTGTTAAACACGCATGGATTTAATCTTTACTTGCAAACATGAAGAGGATCGGAGTAAATAAAAGCTCTCAGTTGCAAAAACTGCTATGCAATAACATCATGAAAGGAAACAATGGAGTGAGTATGAATGAGTTTAAATTTAAATGAACGACTGTTTGTGGGACACTGCTGTGTGCAATTGGCTGCCGTGTTTCGCCCACAAAATATACAGTCAATTAATTTCACAGTATATTCTGTGAAGCGATTTGAGATGTCTGGAAGACATGAAAAGCACTATAATCAAATGCAAGGAGTATTATTATATTATTATGAGTGATTTACTGTCGTGCCCATTTAAACCGTCAAGAAGCCGGTCATTATTAATGAATTTTGGGTAACACTGATGTCCAAAAAAAAATGGTATCATTCTTGTTTCTGAATCAAGTGAATCAAGTCTCTTTGACCGTGCCTTCAGCTCCCCTCTCGACTCTCTTCCTCCTCCTCGCTCCCTCCCTTCCCTCCCCTCACCCTGACCATTTCCCCCCTCCTCTCTCCCTCCCTTCCCTCCCCTCACCCTGACCATTTCCCCCCTGCTCGGGTCATGACCCAACTGTGCAGCGCCTTGGGACGTCCTCCTGACGTGAAAGGCGCTCTATAAATGGAATCTTGTTGTTGTTGTTGTTGTTGTATGGGTTCAAGCTCCATGTCAGCAATTGGGCTCTTAATATCGGCGGATGCAGTACTGTGTGAGCTCTACACCGCCAGAGATGTCTTCCTTCAGATATGCTGTTAAACCAAGGTCTCAACCCACTGCATGCTTTTTAGGTTGTTGTCAAAGGTATCATACTATCGGAAAAGTTTCTCAGTATCCTGGCTAAGTCCAGATAAAATTGGTTATTATGGGACCTGACCTACTTGTGCTGTGCACAAAATGGATGTTGCATTGGCTTTCAAAACAGTCACTTTAGCTGACAATTATAGTTACTGTTAAGTGCTTTGAGACATTGACATGACAAGGAATTTATAAAACTGATATTCACATGCCTTCTTTCTTGATATCTTCCTCTGCTCAGCTAACAGGTCTACAGCAAGTCCTCTGGCCCCTTTATACCACCAGTGGTGATCGAGTCTTCGGTCCCAAAACTCTAACCTTTGGAACTCCCCGTCTCAATCCCTCTCATTTGCCCCTCTCTATCAAGTTTAAATCCCACCTTTAAAATTACATCTTCAACTCCACCTATGGTCATCTCCCGTTCTCCCCCCACTCTGGTCAAATCCAACCCCACCATAATGAAGCACTACCAGACTTTCTCACGTGAAAGGCGGTATACAAAATGCAAATTGCTGTACTCGACTCCAAAATTTCCTAGGCCTCTAAAAGTAATAGAGCAAGATGAGCAGGGTGTTTGTAATAAGTCTACAGGAGAGGAAGTCACCACATTACATGCTCTGAAAGGACAAGTTTCCCTCTGCAAGAAATATGACTTGGGAAAGCACATGAGAAGAAATAAACTCCAACAATAAACAGTACTCAAAAGTACTACCGCATTCACGCCAACATGCATTAAATTTGTCTATTAATTAGATTTTACAGAAGTTTAAATGCAAAATTTTTAGATCATTATTTATGCAAATACATCAATGTTCTTATTTACTCAATTGAATTTGCTGGCAGCAAGCAAAACTTCCAAGTAGCCAATCCATGCACTAGAATTTAAAACAGGCCACTAACTTTAACCTCTTTCAATATAGGTTGATATCAAAATGATAATTTTACATGAGAAAACATAGATTATGTAATCCCACATCCCTGTCAGTAAATAGTATGTGCTCAGATGTTCAATAAATTCATAATGCCCAGTGTTCTCTACACTAATTATTGGAAAGTTACTGCCAAATCAATTTTCTTTCATGCACCCACTTTTGTTCCTGGTTACATTGGTGTTTAGTCTTCAGTTCATCCTTTCTAACAATTGAAACCAGTCCATTTAAAAGCAGTCAAAACCTAAAAGACTGTAATTTAAAAAGGATTGCAGTACTAAATGGAATAAGGCAGAGGAGCATGCTGATTTGGTTGTCGAGAATGCCAATGTTGGCTGAAGTAGATTGTTCATAAGATTTGAAAAACAGAAAATAATTCAGAAACATTCAATGCAGATTGCTGCAGCATATCGGGAACTACAGCTCAAGCTAGACTGATTATTATGTGTTTAACATGAGAAGGAAGCAATGGAAAGATGTGCAGGTCTGAAGTTACATTAGAGTAAATGTCACCAACTACAGAATTCACACATCTGTGTGCTAATATTTTAAATGTTGTGAAAGGTTAACACGCACACCAAAGTTGTCATTTTAACTCAAATATTAATTCTCAGTGGAGAACAAAAAAAGAAAATGCACTTCACTGTTGCATATCATGTCTTATCAATTATTGAAAACACATGTTACTGTCTAGACTATGTACTGAATGAAGCACCTACCAGGACTTTCTACTCGTTTGTAGTGGTATGGGTTAATGCAGACCTCCTTCTGTTTTGAGCCAAATGGAAACTCACAACACTCAAGTGGTTTCAGTTCATGATGACTTTGAAGATCTGGCCAACGCCATACACGACAGTAAATTACGTGCGGAAGGCCCTTGCGATGCGATACTTGAAGACGCCCATCCAGGGAGCGGGGAATAGTGACACAATTGCTAGGCTGACCCGGACTGCTTAAAGCCTTTTCCAACTCCTCCATGGCTCCCTTTTTCTTTTTCAGTTTTTTCACTAGAGCATCGACTGCTTTTTCAGCCCACTTTTCCTCCTCATCGCCTTGTTTCCAGCCCAGAAGGCGTTTCACAGCTGGGCTGGTGAACGAGAACAAGCTTGCCATTGTCATCTTGACCAGTTTTTGAAACCAATAGCAATTAAGCTATTGGGTGCAAGACACTAATAGTTCTGAACACTTTGCTTCAGAAAAGCGTACCGTCTTAGAAATGGTCAAACCTATTGTGTTGAGATATTCTTCTGCTATTCACTTAACAGAAATGTCCCAAAGTAAAGCTGTAAACAATTCCATGTGAAAGTCAGGATATTCAGCACTTCACATTACAGATGTTTCCTCTTCTGGATCTAACGAAAGAAAAAAATAGTTAGGAGGTGAAACCATTTTTGGAGTTATTCAACAGTAGTTCTACTATCAGTCTCAAGTTATAAACCACCAAAGTTTGCATTATAAAAGCATTTTGCAGTTTGAGTACCCAAATTAACAGAGCCAAATGTTTGTTTTGCCTGGTTGGCTAATAAGCTGGATCTGTAATGATCTCACTGGGCAAAAAAGCCTTAATTAATGAGAACGGTTCTTCATTTTGGTTTGGTGAATCCAAATTCTACAACATACCAATGCAATTTAATCAGTAACATTTTTCAAAAAATTGAAAATGGAATAACCTTTTACATCAGTCAAAAAAGATAAGCCTGGTTCAGTTGGTAGGACGCTCGCCTCAGAATCAAAAGTTTGCATGCTCCAGCCTCACAAGAGAGTTTGAGCTTATTGTCTAAGCTGACACTCCAATGCAGTGCTGAGGAGCAATGAGCTCTCACAAGTGCCGCCTGGCAGATGAGACATTAATCCGAGGTTCCATCTGCTTCTTGAAGTGAGCATTAAATATACCATAGCATTATTTCAAAACAGAAGGGAGTTTCCCCCAGTATCTTGGCCAAGAACCTCTGCATACAAAATTGGTCATTCAACTTTGTTATTATTTGTGGAACACTGCTATGTGCAAATTGACCGTCACGTTTGCCTAGAAATGCAGTTAACTGCAAACCCCAGTGTACCTTGTGAAGCTCTTTGAGACACATCAACAAATGTAATAAGACGTGATTTCAAATGCAAAGATTATTAGTTCTATATCCTTACATGTAGATTGAAAAAATAGAAAAGCATATGAAGATGGATTAGGTCTGATGTACTGCACTCCTAACATTTGCTGGCCTGTGAAATATTGAACATTACATTTTGGATCAAAGCTATTTTGACTCAACTTATTCATTCTCCCCATTCATTAAACAACTGGGATCACAACTTGTATGCAACAGGTAGACAAAAAAAGTGTAAAACTAAAATCTTTCTCTGAAATCACACATTTTTCACAGTACATCAGAACTAATTCAAACTACTTACAAAAAAAAGTTATCTTCTTGGGATTAAATCCATGAAATGTGGTTAAAAAACATGGTGGCACATAAAGAAAAAACACATCCCTTTTCTGATATCGATGAGGATTAAAAAAATCCTCCAATTATAAGAATGTAAAATTTGCAAAATCTACAAGGCAGGAATATGTGCCAATAAAGTATTATTAAAATGACTGTCTCTTCTGGTTGTATTTTTCTGAAATTTGAAGGAAGAAATTAGAGAAGGGCAAAGTAACTCTTCAATTCAATAAGTGACAATCAGTCTACCTATTGACAGTCTGCCTCAAACACTCAGGAGAAAATTGTCAAACAGTTGATAATCACAAGTGATAAGCACTAGAGATTCTGAAACTAGATTCTATCCATTCTATGTCTAATGGTTAATAGTCATAGTTGGGAAAAGAAAACTATAATAATAATCCTTGCATTTGATATAGCTAATAATATAATAAAATAATATATCATAATATAAACTGATATAATGATGCTCTATTCCAAGATACTGAATGACTTTTGAAAGCTGATTTTTAAATAGTAAATTTATTAGTGGTAAATCAATACTATAACTGTTGTCTTCAGAAATGTCACACTTAAGATGCTTTCTAAATTGGAACGTCCACCAACCAATAGATTCTTTGACACATCATGAGATCGAACTGCTGTTGGGATAAAACTTGTCAAACTATCCCTCTGCTTAGAAACGACTTGAAATGAATCACATTGCTAATTAAGAAAGATAGCCAAGATGCTCTGTTTTTGTCAGGATTCAACAATTGACATTGTAGCCCTATCAAGTAATTAAATAAGGATACGCTTTAGAGTAAGTTGCAGAAACGCATGGAATTTTACATTGTCTTTTCTAAAAGCAGTTTACTCTCATACAATGCAATTTACATGATTAGTGACTTTCATGTCACGAGGACATCTCAAAGCGCTTAAGAGAAAGACTAGAAATACACATTTGCATTCAGGTACAAATATGTTGTACCCGAATGCAAAGTGTTACAACATTTTAAGTAAAGACCTGTGAGAAGATTCAACAAATGATAAAGCATCATATTAAAATGAGTTTTTTTTAACTAAAACAGACTTTGGGACTATTAGAAACTGTAAAGTTCAGAACATGAGTGAACAGGGTCCTTCATCAGAAATTCTGAAGTGGCAAGATTAAGAAAATTATTCTCGTTTACAAAGATTAAGTAAACAAGGAGTTACTAAGATTTCAATAAAGCAGATTTAAAATAAGTGTTTCTACAAGGCTCAAAGGTTCTTTAGACAGCAATTTTAGTCAAAGATCATACAGTTCTTAGCTTGCAAAAACATTAGCTGGACACCTCTATTAATAAAAGCTGCAATGTTGAGAGGAAACAGACATTATATAACATGATGAACATGCCTGCCAAATTGGTACGGAACCTAAAGAGCCAAGCCCATATTATGGGAAGGGGTAAACCAAAGAACATCTTAGAACCATATATCTAGCATTAATGAAAACCTACAATCCTTAGCTCGCAACATCTATTTCGCCTACTTCAGCCAAGGGACAGAATTGAGTTAGTTATTATAACTTAAATCTTGTGAGATCATAAATGGAAACAGAAAGATGCGTATTTGAGCTAAGTATCCATTTATCACACTCACAATTGTAGGGGATGAGTTCCCCTTTTAAAATACTTCTGACAAGGATCATTTGTATACAACTGAGAGTGTAAGTGAACTGTAATTCACAGGGGAAAGGGATACCAGCTGCAATACTTTCATACGATAGGCACTTGCACTGTCTACATGCTGGTCACCACAAAGCAATTACCCCTCCCCTAACTACATTTCTCTATGAAATATTCATGATGTAGAAAGAGCCTAAATCTTTGCCCAGCTGCCATCAGAAATGGCTGGCTATTTAATTACAGCAGAGAGACTGATGCCAAAGTCATAAAAGCACAACATCTTTATCTAATTTCAAGTCAGACATACAATAAGAGTCAAGTATACCAAATCTAAAGTACATACAACTACTCAAACATGATAACCTTGAACAAGCCAAGGATTGCACATTTAAAACAAACCATGCATTTAACTTTTTTTAATTGAACTGTTCTCCTGCATGGATATGGTGAATGTAAAATCCATTAAGCCACAAGTAAGGCACCAGTTTTTGTCTTTTACATTAAAACCACACCTTTTAGGTGCCAGGCTGACTCAGTGGGTAGCACTTACACCTTTCGAGTCAGAAGGTTGCAGGTTCAAGCCCTAAGTCAGGAATTCGAGCCTGCAGTCTAAGATTACACTCAAATACAGTCCTGGGGATACATGGCATTACTGGAGGCACAATCTTTAGAGGCACAATTTAAAATATCGCTCGATCAGGAATGACAACAAAATTCAACAAAAAGTTTTGGTTAACCTCCTGTTAGAAAGTGTTCTGTGAAGACAATTAATTCACACTAGCTTGAACTCTCCGCAGTAGAATTTGATTTATAATCCCATTACTAACAAAGGAAACATCTTTATGGACAACATCCTTGCAGTGGCAAACATGCCGTCCCAATCCACTTTCCCATTGTTGGATAATGCTCCTGGGAACATTCCATATGGAATTCCATTTCTTTTTATGACTTGCGTCACCATTTCCTCCCCAACAAAAACAATGGATTTTCACAGGTGCTCTGCAGAAACTAAGCAACTATATGGAGAACCGTTTGATGGAGATTAAAATTAAAACTGTAATAGTCCTTTCTCCAAAACTATATTAAATCAGATCTCAGGTCAATGTCATAAAACTCAAGTGCAACTACCTGATAAGCACATACATCCATATCCCAGTGAAGGAAATGAAAAAGGGTCTTCAGTAATCAATTATATAAAAAAAAACTGATGAATTCAATTGGCTGATTTTACAGTTCTAACATATTCTTTTGTGGGAAAAAAAAGCAGGTGGCGTTTGTTTTGCTTAAATAGTGTAAAAGCTTTATACGAGGTAGAGCAGGGAGGAAGTGAAGGACCAATTTGGTCCAATTGATTTTTTGAGAAGAAACCAGAAGATACTGCCCCTCTTTTTTAAATGTATATTATATAATCTGGAACATTCAATTCCTCTATCTCGCCCCCTCCTCGTCCTGTACCTCAGGGGTTAGAGCACTCGCTTTGCAAACGAGAGACCTGAGTTCAATCCCAGGCAGGTCAGGGCGAAACCTTGGGCAAGTTTCCTTACTCCACACAGAGCCTAATAATAATCCCTCCAAAACAAAAAATAATAAATTGGTCATTTTCAATCCATGACTGTTTGTGGGACATTGCTGTGCGCAACTGGCTGCCGCGTTCGCCTACAGATATACAGTCAATTCACTTACAGTATATTCTGTGAAGCGCTTTGGGACGTCTAGAAGACGTGAAAAGCGCTATATCAAATGCAAGGATTATTATTATAACTTTAGATCCCACTGAAAGACATTTCTTCCTCTTCAACTGTGCCTAATCACTTCTCCTCTCTCCCTGGCTTGGTATTAAGTTCCGCCACTGTAAGGATCTCCGAGACTCTACCCCATGTGAAGGTGCAAAATAAATGCAAGTTGTTGTTGTCGTCACTCTCACCCTCGCTCGCCTCCACTGGTTCCCCATCCCCCAGAGGATCGAATTCAAGATCCTCATCCTCAGCTACAAGGCCATTCACGGCCTTGCTCCCTCCTACCTCTCCGACCTACTATCCCCCTACTTACCTGCCCGTACCCTCCGTTCCTCTGGCTCCGGTCTGCTCCACGTCCCCCGCCCCAACCGCCCTACCATCGGTGGCCGGGCCTTCAGCCTCTCAGCCCCGAGGCTCTGGAACTCTATCCCCCAGTGCCTTCGCCGCCTCCTCCCTTTCCTCCTTCAACGCCGGTCTCAAGAACTTTCTCTTTGACCGTGCCTTCAGCTCCCCTCTCGACTCTCTACCC